TAGGATGAAAAGCGGCTGCGTGAGGCTGTAACGGTTTGAGAATGCCTCGAGCCACATGCCGTAGATCCAAGTGTTGCAACGTGGTCCACTCCATTGATTCTTTGCAACTCTCTCTATCTCCCGCCTTATAAACCATAAAAGAAACAACAAAGTTCAGCTCTGAAGAAATGTAAGCAGACAAACCAGCAAAATTTCGAACCAAAACTCGGGATCCGAAAAGGAAAATCAGAAATGAGAAGAGAAGGGACAAATGGATCTGATCTGGATTGCAATAGGGAAGTGAAGGGAATTCTGATGTTAATTTGATTACCTTTTGCTTTCTTATGTGAAGAGGGAGTTCATCTAGAATTCCTTCGAAAGAGAAATATGGAGAAGAAGAAGATCGAGAAACAACTATGAAGGCTGATGAAATTCAAGAGACAACGAGGTAGAGAACTCTGCGGCAGAGTCGGAGAGTGACGGAGACAGGAGGATTTGGGCCCCTGTTATGATAAACCCATGTCTTAAATTCTTGTCGGTTTAGTTACTGTAGTCCTCCTTGAAGACTAAGCGAGCATTGCTTGGACCTTGGTAGTATGGTAATGGGGAAACTGGAATTTGGGCCGTACCTTTTAAAGCCCATTTGGGCTTCGTTGTCTAGGCTAATAGGGCTGCTTGAAGACTATTCGTATTTTCTTTGGACATTTTATTGAGATGAATTTATGGGCCCAATTGAACTGGGCCAAGGTTGGGCTTAGGCTTTACAGTTTTAAAGTTGTGTTTGGTTTTTTTGGCAAATTCCAAAGAAAAATGAGGAAAATAAAATAAACATAATATCTAAAAGAATCTTTAAATTATTCAAGAAAAATTAAATAATTTTTATTAAATTTTATATATGTAGTCCGATTTAAGAATCATGTATTCTTAATAATCGGCAAGGAAAAAGGAAATTTTTTCGAAAAATATGGAGAAAAATCTTTTAAAAATGAAAACTTTTACTTCTTCTTTTTTTTTCAATTTTTAGTTTTCCTTCGAAATATCTTTCCCCTCAAAATTTTCATGAATAAAAAAAAGAGCTAAACACAGCACCAACAATTTCAATTAATGCTTTGCAACTTAATCAGTGTTAAAATAAGTCCTATTTGTTTTTTTTTATGAACATGTAATTGGTGCATACAAAGAATCCCACATCTGAAAGAAAGGAATCTGAAGATCCATGTCACTTCATAGAAGGAAAGGATAGAAAAGTAGTTTTGTTTGAGAATAAAAAGGATGATAATTACCCTACATTCAAAAAAAATGTGGGGTATCAGAAAAGGACAGTTCAGAGAAACCAGGAAAAAATAATAATTATTATTTTTGCTCCCACAAGTCTGACCTTTATGGGTTGGTCAATGGTTCCATTCTTTCTTTTTGCTTTGTTGTTTTTACCCTGTAAAAGTACTATCGATTTAAAGGCTTGGGGCACCTAACTCTTGCACTACTCTCTCTCTCTCTGTCTGAGTGAATCAATGAATCACACTCAGAAAAAGATGAAAAGTTAAACTATGCACACACCCGATTGATGGAATTGAATGTAAAAAAAGAAAGAAAAGGGCTTTGTTTTGAGACATTTTCAGGCAGATTTATTGTTGGAAAAACTCATTTGTCATCTTGAAAGATTGGTGTTGTGGGGAAAATATATGGTCCCATTGCAATGAAGAAATGAATTATAGAAGTATTTATACTCCAATCATTTGCTTAATGTTGGAGGCGTTCTCTTGTGACATCTGATATAGATTGCTAACCATCATCATAACCTTGCAATCAATGTCACCAAAAATCATCATTGGAAAGTGCCTACCACGCTCTCTTCCCAGGGACGAAAGCTTTATCCGAAGCCACGAATCGGAGGCTCAGTTAAGACTGAAACGCGCCTGAACGGCTCCTTCCTATCCAAATTCAGCCGCAGAGTTCTTCGGAGGGTAGGGGCCATATACAAGTTGAATATGAAAACTTAATAGGTATTGAAAGCTGTATTTAAAGCTGCGTTTGTCTTCATGTAGAGCTCATCCAAATTCTCCATCTCACTTTGGATTTCTTGGACGATACTGAGGAATAAGACACCTCTAATAAAGCAGAATATTGGGTGGAATGTAATGAAATTGACAGAACGCCATATATATCCTCCCATTCCTTCTTTCTTCCTTATTTTTTTCTTTCATTTCTTGTGTTTTTCCCTTTTTTTTGTCTTCTTGAAGGGGAAAAGCATGCAAGTTGCCTATTAGATCATGAAAATGACCACAGTCATCTTTCGGTGCTCTAACTTTCAACCAATATCGTTGGGTTTTCGTAGTTTTTCTTTTAACCTCTGTTAAGCATCCGGAGTAGCATTTTCAGTGCAAACGTTTTTCCTAGCGGTAGCATGCCTGTAAGGCTAATTATTAGGACAAAAATCTCTTTGATCTGTCCAATGTCACAGGTCAAAATATTAAAATATAATCAACAACGACAAGCAAGCAAGCAAGCAGCGCCAATGAAAACAAAAGAACATGGCAGGCATTGGAAGATCTAGAGCCGGGAAACATAAGCCACATACTCAGGAAGGGATTGAAAGCTTGATTTGAAGAAGAATAAGACTTGTTGAGAGAAGTCCCACCGATCAGCTAAATCGAGGAGGAAGATCTAGATCCTTAAAAACATGGGCCATTCATGACCAGGGTTCTTACAGGACTCAAAAAGTTTGAGATAGGACTTCCACTAGCTGGGTCCCACAGTTAATGATTGAATGTGGGAAGGGAGTATCTTCCCTTTCACTTCTGCAACAACCAGACCAATAGACAGTCTAGCTGGCGTCCTTATCTAAAAAAGAAGCTCTAGCTAGCTAGGAAAAATATGCTTGTATAGGATGGGGATTCTTGCATACGTTAGAGGAATCCTAGTCTCAAAATGAGTCGTGAATGTGTGTCAATTTAGTCCATAGAAAAATGGGCTGGTGGGGTTGTCGGCGGGGCAAAGATGACTACAGCCAGTGCTTGGATAGTTCGCGACAAAAATATCTTGTGTATAAAAAGTTCATTCTTGAACACCTTTCAGCTTTCGACCTTGCCCACAATCATAAGAGGAAATCAAGAACAATATCAATAGCTACTTGATTCGTTCGATTATATTCATTTCTCATCATATTTTTAGTGTGGGGAGAAAATCCTTCAAAAAGACGTGGTTGCAGCTAGTTAATTAGTGTTATACTTCTTCATAAATATTCCGAAAATAAAATAGAAAAGATGAAGAAAGAAATGGTAGCATTATACTGTAAAACATTACATCCCTAGGCATTCTAATTAACAGACTCTGAAGGCAAAACAGTTCTCATTTCTTATTCTTATCTTGTTCTTGTCCTCATTTTTGCATCTTAGGTGAGGCCTAAATTCAGCGGTTAAGACACAACTTTCGGACAGGCAAGTGGCTCTCCCTTTGCCTTATTTAGAAAGCTTTAAAGTTAATTAAGATATGGTCGAAAACAAAAAGAACACCCTTGAAACAACATAAAAGATGCTATCCAACTTGCCGTGTCTTATTGTTCCTCATCTGTTGCATGACTGGTAAGCCGCGTAACTCAGGTAATTCATTCTTTTTACTTCTGTTTGGTACTAATGGTTGAAATTCCCCCTTGGGTTTTCTAATTACTTTAAGCTATGTGGTTTGGGTACATTGCTATAGCTGGCTTCAGAAGGATAGTCTACATTTTATGATATACATGAATAATTGGAGTTGTATATGTCATCAAAGGCAAATTTTCGATTTAGGTTTTAGTAAGAATTATAATTGATCAAGCACTTAGTGATTGGGTATTTTCACATTATAGAATATATGTAGAATTCATATACAAGATGGTGAAATTACACAACAGTTGAATAGCTTTAATGGGTTGTACTAGAATTTTTTCAATCATACGAAAGGAACATGGATGGATGCGTCGTCCTTTAATTTGTGAAGTTAACCACGGAGGTTGACCTGGAAATATATGCTTGTGCACTTGGCAGTTAGCCCGGGAAGAACAACTTGGCATTAGGTGCTGAACTTTCCATGTGCCCGAAGTCCTGGAAGAGCCTAGTAGGTCCGTCTAAGCATTTTCACTTTTTTTTTTCCACAAAATATTCTCAAAGGATGGAAGCAAAGCGAAACTAACTGATGCTATATTCCTTCTTTACAGGACCAATTGGCAAGAATTTACTGGCTAGGAAACCAGGAGGGTTGTGCACATGTGATGTCCCCATACCAATCATCCCAAACAATTTGCTAAGGCAATGTAAATCATATGGGATATGATATCTCTCATATCAGGACCAAGAAGAAAAAAAGAGGCCCTACACAGTACGAAAAAACAATCTCATATATGAAGGAAACTAGTTCTTTTGCTATACTGTTTTTCATATAGACGGTGTAAAGCACAGATAAATGTAGTTGCCTCGTGTGAAGGCCAGGAGGCTGGGAACAAACCTACCTTCTTGGGAAAGCAGTTGAGTTTGCCATCAATTTTTTTAAAAAAAAATTTTGGCAACAAATTCCTAGAAAGTGAAGGAAAATCTTGGCCCTGTTTGAAATTTCCTTTGAACTTGTTGGAAACCTGTTGGAATTTGGAAGACTCTAAAACTTTGTCTCTACTTGATAAGAAAGGGCAAAGGCTAAACTGTTCAATATTGAACATGGATTTTAATCCTGAACAGCATGGTAGAGATGGGACTATATATGTATATATATAGTTGGCATTTGCTACCCTGCCCTGTTAGTCTGTTACAATTAGGTAACGCTCCAACTAGCTAACCCCAACACTCTTTAGGCATATGGACCAATGACCATTGATGTTAATAAAACAAGGATACTTCCTTAAAAAGCTTGAAAAATGACATTTTAGCAACCAAGCAAAGTTTTCAGGAAAGAGTCGTGATTCAGGATTAATCACTAGAATTCAGAGATTCATCATTCCATATATGATGATGGAGTGAGAGAAGAAATAAAATGGTGGGGTTATATAAAAGGGAGGCAAGACTCTAATGTAAGAGAGGTTTAAATCAAAGTGCCTCTCACTTAGGAGGCAATGACTTAGATAGCAGCTTGTAACCACAGTCCCATCTGCTCTCTCATTTTCCTGTGAACTATAAGATCTCTTATATCTTTCGGACAGGGAAAATTGAGAGATTCAAGTATCAAACACTATAAAACTATTGCTGTTGCTGTTGCTGTTCTTATCTGGTTTTTAACTCTTTGTACCTCACAAGGTTTGCTAAAGATGCGCAGCATGGCAAGCTCCAGCTCCACCAAAGGCATCGCCGCCATTGTAGGCGTCGGGCCCAAGCTTGGACGATCTATTGCCCGCAAGTTTGCTCATGAAGGATATACTGTCGCCATCCTGGCCCGGGACTTAGGTGCCCTCTTTCTTTAGCTTTGAAAATGTTTCCCTTTTTTCTTTTTCCCTTTTATCCATTATCGCTCTTTCCAGTGCTAATCAGTGGATTACATGTTTTCCAGGAAGATTGTCGAGATTCGCAGATGAGATAGCCAGAGCAGAGAAAGCGCAAGTCTTTGCAATTAGAATAGACTGCTCGGATTCTAGAAGTGTTAGGGAAGCATTTGAAGGGGTTCTTTCACTAGGATTTGTAGAAGTTCTGGTGTACAATGCAAATCAGCGAGTTTCTTGGCACCCCACAAACTTCACTGACATTAAAATTGATTCCTTTGAGAAATCTCTTGCTGTGTCATCCCTTGGTGCTTTCCTTTGCGCTCAACAGGTACCCCTTCTAGTTTCCTCATAGTTCGCCAAGCAGAAATATCCCAATCCATATCTGAAGCCTATCTTTTGCTTTTGTCTTGTTAGATTTCAGCTTTTGTTTCATTGGTTTCATTATCAAATTTTTGAAGGAAGTTTACTTTTGTTGTAACATGCTAATTGATGAAAGGTACTTCCCGGGATGGTGGAAAGAGGAAAAGGAACGATTCTCTTCACTGGCTGCTCAGCTTCACTCAACGGCATTGCTGGTTTCTCTGAACTATGTAATTTTCACCCCCAGTTAAACATATCAGAAAACTAACCCAACCCAATTTAAAAAACAAAAAAAAATGAGAATAATTTAGCAGTTTCTTGTACATGAAACAGGCTGTGGAAAGTTTGCCCTGAGAGCATTATCACAATGCCTGGCAAGAGAGTTCCAGCCTCTTGGTGTCCATGTTGCCCATATTATCATTGACGGGGTTATAGGTCCACCCAGGTATAAAACTATTCTTGATGAATCCTATCCCATATTCATGGAGACAAAAACTCCAAATTAGAGTAAAATTATGAGATATATTCTAGAAAAATTATTTTTTAAATAAAAGGTGGGAACGTACAACTGAAAAGTCTCCGCAATCAAGAGGCGATGGTTACTGAAAAAACTGATGAATGATGAGCAATAAATGTGAAATGCAAATGCAGGGGACCATCGGCATCGCAGCGAGGGTTGGTTGGGGAGCAAAAGCAAAGCGGAGGGGGAGGGGACGGGGCCGCCATGATGATGGACCCAGACGCGTTGGCTCAGACCTACTGGCACCTGCATGTTCAAGACCGGACCGCTTGGACCCAGGAGATTGACCTCCGTCCCTCCATCACCAGATTCTATTAGCCACTCAATTCCATCCCTTTCTCTCCTTACAATATATATCTTCCCATTTGCTCGACTCCCTCCTCAAATCATTTGCAATTTCTACTATCATTATCATCTACTCCAATAGTTTCCATTTCTTGTACACTTATCTTGTTGTTTGGGACAAGGCACCTGAATTGGATCTCAAAGTGTCCTTGGAACTGGCACTTCAAGATTTGCTATGTAAAAGATTCACTCAAGGTTTTTTTTTTTTTTTCTCCTTCTCCATAAGGAGTTTGAAAAGTATAAATACTTGTTGGTTTATAATTCGAGCTAATGTGTTAAATACATCTTGGTGCAATGTCACGTTGTTTAATGTTCGTATGTGTTTTTAAAGTTTTTTCACTACTCATTTTCATATCAAAATTAAATTCTTTGGTGGAATTCAACTAGGGATGTTAACATATATGATAGTCATTATTTTAAAAATACTTTAACTCAAATTCTATTAATTGATAAGGTATTCGTATTTTATAAATAACCGATTAAATTTTTAAATTGTTATTCGCACTTGTATTCAAATAACCTAAACACTATCCGTTAAATATTACTTAACAAAAAAAATTATCCGTTAAATATCTATACTAGCTAAATATCTAATTAAAATAAACTTAAAATTAATTTTTATTATAGTATTAAGGAAAATTAAATTAATAAATTAAAATTAATTCATTAAAAACTAAATTAAAATTTAAAATCTTATTTAAAACAATTAATGAATTTTGATAAGAATTACATTAATTATAAAAAATTTATAAACCAAAAATAATATATAATAAAAATTTAATATTAAAAATTATTACTTATAATCTAATTCGAGTACCTCAAGACTACTATCCGAATATGTAGCAAGCATTAATTTTACTACTTGAACTTTGTTCAAACTCAATACTAAGGTACCTTAATTTTAGTAATTGTAGATCATATAAAATATCCGATTACAAAATAACCATTAACATACTTAAATTCAACTAATTAAATAAAAATAGTTAATCTTAACTTTTAAAATAATATATAATTTAATATTCATCTAAATATTCAAATATTATAGTCAAATATATATAAATCAATAAAGTGTTTTCAGGCTCTCCATAAATTAAGAAAAAATATATCCATGCACTATAATTTTCTTTTCATAAATTATTAGACATGAAAAGATAAAAAATGTCACCTCATACTTATTTGTAGTAACCAAATGGTACAAAGGTATTTAGAAATATTTCACGTCAAAAAATTATTTCAATCGAGTTATTATTAATTATTTTTTTCATCACAAACAGTTGGAGGAAGAGGAAAATATCTTTGTCGGTTTTTAGGTGATAGTGTTATAATATTGAGTGGTCCGCGAAAGAAAGTTGAGGCGTTTGATGAGGGACATTTGGTTGCATGGATAAAATCAGGACTTCGTGTTCTAATTTAGGACACACAGCCTCCCCCCCACCCAAAGTGAAAAAATTGGCTTAAATCATCAGTCATTACCCATTGGTGGCTAGGAATAGTAATAAAAATAACAAAAGGTGTCTTTCAGGAAAATTAGGGAGCAGAAGATTGACAATCCTTCCTTCAGGAGCCGTCATTCGTGGGTTCCTGCCCTATCATGTCTGGTCCTGAAAAGGGGATTTTGATGTACGTTCTAGTCTAATCATAGGAAGATGGTCTTTGGGTTTTCAATTAAGGTGCCTAATACGGCTCAAAATCAGTCCATTCTGGAGACATGGAAAGGCGGATTAGGAAGATGATTAAGGGGTTAACGATGATTAAGGGGGCTGGCCATCACCCATTCGTCAGGCTGTTTAATTTTTGCGTAGGTCGGTTCTTCTGACAAGCGATATGGTCCAAAACGGGACAAATTTTGTGGGCCATCTCAATAATTGGATTTCTGCTTTTGGTACTGACTAGAACAGTGATCGCAAGGACGAGTGCAGAACAGCTAAAGTGTAACGGAAAAACAAATGCTTGCAAGTTAAAAAGAAAAAGGAGAAATCGCTTTCGTGGGAGATTAAATCAAAAGAATAAACACAAGAAGAAAAAATCTAAAAAAGATTAACAGGATCACCACCCATTTCATGTGCATTCCTGTGCTACCCAGTACCATCATTCTCATGAAACATGTAGTGAGATAACATTGGTTTCCTCTTCAACAACATTCAGACATGAATCGTGAAAAATGGGAAAACCAACGTCGACCTTGCCTATGAAAGAAGACCACAAGCACAACAGAGAGGCATGTGAACTTCAGGCTACCAAGTGGCTGAAGAAATACCAAAGATTACATGGGAAGGTTGTTATAGTAACTGACTGTAGGCTGATAGCATCACTATACCATTTGGAGGGTCAGGTGTTTCAAAGGCTATACTAGCTTTAGCCATTGGCTTTGTCTAATCCAGGGACAGGAATTTCAAAGGCTATCATCACCAGTGGGATATCAATATTGCTAAGGAAGGGAAAGAAGGGGGGAAGAAGAGGGGGAATGAATAAAATGAAAGTTATTTTTGCTTCTGATTGTTAGGTTCTAGAAGAATGGAATACAGAACTGCTTTCAGATGATGAGAAATATAAATCGGTGATTACCCAATTTATTAAATCGGGATGATGCTGCCCTAATTTGCACGAATAAGAGTATTAACAAAGCCTCACATATATATACCGACCATTTACCAGAAAACACAATTTGGTAGACAGCTACCATATTATCCAGAAACTCAACATTGTAAAACATTAACAGAACAAATCGTAGTCCTATAGTCAGAGACTCAGTACCAAAAGTGCACAAATATGTCACCTGAGGATTTCAAGCAAAGCATTGCATGTACAACCCTAGCACAAGATGTCCCTTTCCTATCAATCTGGATCATTTCCATGCTGAGAAGATAACTAGCAGCTGTTGATCCTGCACCTTGATATCCTAGTGAAAACCAAGTGAAAATCATTCTTCCTCCATTTGTATGCCTCTACTCTAGAAGGCTATTGATATAATAACAGCCTGTCAACATGCATAAAATCTGGAGACCAGATCATATTCCTTTATTTATGGCAAAAGCGTGGATTTGAGTTGGCATGGTGGGTGTAGCTGTGGTTGTTGAAATTGAACCCCTGGTACTGTGAAGCAGGTACTGTCCACTCATCAACATAAGGTCTGAAAGGCAATGATCTTACCATTGTTGAAGTGGATCCCATGTCATAGCTGGCAAAATGGAGTGGTGCATTCCGGTGTTGACATTTTGTTGCATTCCGGTGTTGACATTTTGTTTGAGATCGATAAGGATTTGGCACAGGACCACCATATGAATGACAAGTTGCACCTTTATTTTCAGTGAAACTAACAGGTTTTCGATGACTATAAGAAGATTTGGAGACTCTTAGCCTTGAGTTTTGCTTCTTTTTCACCTGTCCAACCAGAGAAGTTGCTTGATAATTTTTGCTCATATTTGCACGCCTTGGAATAGAGGCTTTTCCTTGTGCATTAACAATCTTTCCTTTCTCTTGTTCAGTTGCTTTTCTCTTTTTTAATGGTTGTGAATGATGCAAATGCTTTTGCTGTTTTGTACCTAATTAGAACCAAAGAACAAAAATGTGATGTAAAATTCCAGTGCTCAATAGTCAAGAAAATTGGAATGCACAGGAACATATTTTGCTTCTCCATCTCTCTTCTACATACCAGCATCTTTAGTCCACTTCTTGTTTGATTTTTTCATTGCTTTCACCAGTCTTGCTGCTTTGCCTCGTCTGTGCTTCTCAGCAAGTACATTTCTTCTTTCTGCCTCATCACTCCAACGCTGATATAAAAAAGAAAGCATAAATAAACCAAACTTATCAAGGCAGTGCCTGGAGAAAGCCAATTTCCAGCCAATTACTTACCTGTCTGTAAGTTTTCAATTTGTAAAGGTTACGACCCTTTACAAGCAAAGGAAATAATGAAGGCAATTTCTTGATCCCCTTGCACCACAATACTTCAACCTTTTGCATCAAAAACATTGAACTGGCAGATAGTGTCATCAAGGGCCTAAACAACTCCTAGATAAAAAAATTATGGAAAATGCAAGAAAGGAACAAATTGTCATTTATCACCATTCCCAACTAACCTCACACAGCTAAAACCAACCCCGTTTTAACATATCTTTGTTTTTGAAACTAAAATGTCCACCACTTAGTGGACTTAAAACGTTCTTCCTGGCATAAGATAAAGTGTTAGTGTTACCGTAAATGTATGTTGCTGTTTAGCTTTACCATAGCTTTCCTTAACAACCTTTCCAGCAACAGTTCTCCTCCCCAGAGGCCTCCCTTGCCTTGTCAATTTATTGAACCTGTTTAAATCCAAACCTCAATTTACGTTGCCCAAAAAAGGGTAAATGTAAGACAAGAAATAGAGTATCTGAGATGAAAGTGACAGCAAGATATGAGCTTAGATAGGGGATTACTTCTCATAAACCTTCTGCTCAAACAAAACAATATCTCCTTTACAAACATCACCTGCATTATTAAGCCCAAATTTTTTTTCCAATTACTCACGTAAAAAGCCAAAACATTAATGGGAATGCAGAAAAAGAGAGGGGGGAAAGGGGGGAGTGTTAAGAAAAGCCAGTTTACCAGTACAGTTGATAAAAAAGGATGACCTGGGATATAGGGCTTCGGCATTCCCATCTTTTATCCTGTGAAGCAAAGAGGAAAAGGAAACTGCTGTTAATTCACAAAATTAACACTTACTCATACAGAATTATTGCAATATGAAAGCAGAAATCGGAATGGGATTTATTATATAATGGTAAGAAGGTGAAGAAGCTACTTCCAATGCTCGAGAATTCTCTGTTGGCACACTGCCTTAGTGCCCGTTATTCGGAGGCCATGATTCCGTAAATAAGCTTTGCATTGTCTTAAGCTTAAGCTTTCTAATTCACCTCCTTCTATGGAAATGGAATACAAGGATCATAATAATTAGAAGGATATTTTTCTGATCAAATGCAATCTCAATTTTCCAAAAAGAAAAAGAAAATCTTAAATTCTAATAGGGGAAAATTGACCTTTGAGAAGAGCGATGACTCGATTGCAGAGAGTCTCGTCGTTCTCAGTCCGATCATTATCGTCTGATTCATTCCCTTCCTCCTCCTCTTCTCCTTCTTCTTCAGTTTCATCTCCACTGATGACTTGAAAATTATATCAAAAAGGAAAAGGCAAAATGGAAGTCATTGAAATTGAAATACGAATTTAAATACCTGGAACTGGAAAAACTATTATTCTCATAATCATCATCATCATCATCGTCTTCTTCTTCTTCTTCTTCTTCAGTTTCTAGTTCATCTTCTTCCTCAGAAGAAGAAGAGAGGGAAATGAAAGTACGTTTGCCTTTCCCCCGCGAGCCAGCCATGTGATTAATTCCAACAGAAAATTACGACAGTAAAGTGCAAACTCAACTTGGAAATTTCCATTTATTGCTTTTCCGGAACGAAATTTGAAATTTTGAGAAAATCGAGGCCGACCAATGTACGGTCACTTATCGTTCGGGTCTTAAAGCTTCGAGTACCGCTGCTGGCCCAATACTCTTTCTATAGACCATTTTAGGCCCAATTAAAGCCCACTCTCAGATTGCCCACAAGTTTGATTTGAATGTGGGCTTGGCATCCAGCTTTAGTGCATGCTAGTCCGTTTGAAAAGGATTGACCTTGAATCAAAGATACCGGAGAAGGCAAAAGTGAAAATAAGCAGTTCAATTTGCTGAATCTTGGATCACCTAATTTCTGATTTAGAGACAGGGAAGGGTTGGGGGACATGAACTTTTGATTACAAATTATAGGACACAGAAGATGATGATACAACAGCAATCACGATCTCACGATGCTAGTCGAAACATGTCAGATTATCAAAGTCTCTTGCAACCAGTTGAGAAATATTCTCACCTGAAATTGAACACATGTTTTAAACTACAACTTTACAGTGGGAAACATAAATGCCTAAAGCTTTGTCAATGTTAAGTTGCACTTGCACCAGGTTTCATGGCTTCAATCATGTGTTTTTTATAAATCTTGTGCCTAACAGATGAAGTAGCCAAAACTAACGCGCTCGGGGGACGTTGATTGCGGTGGCAAAATTCCCTCTACCTCGTATTATGTTCAGGCTAGCAAGACCTCACCTCATTCATTTATTAGGCAGAACAGCTCTGGAAAGACGCAAATTCTTGGGAGCTCTAATGAAGTTTTACAAAATCTAAGGAGCTTTTGCAAGGGTTCGGCTTGATACACCGTGCAATAACTTGACAAATCCAAGAAAACTCAGCTTTCCATCAGTGTGCCTAATCCAGTCATGAAGGACAGCGTGAACAGGCACGGATGGGCCCAGTCCAAGTTCCTGAAAAGTCATCGTCCAAATGCTAGAGATTAGTCTATGGTTTCTGCTGCTTCACAGCTTCCAATTGAACTTCACTACGCAAGATAACATAGAAACTTAATTGCATTGTAAAATTTATAGAAATCTAAAAAAGAAAAAGGAAGAAGCTTCCCCCTATAATCAAGAACACAATAACTCCACATTTCTGCACCTTACTTATAGAGACTATACAACTCTCTTAATTACAGTTGACGCTCATGAGAAAGAAAGTAAAAAGGTTTTTTATGCTTTTATCTCAAGATTATTTGCAGTGTCCCTTCGTCTATATCCTTCCCAATGATAGTGTCACCACATATGTTGCACAAGATTGAGGAGCATAATAAAGAGAAAATAATAAAACATAAAGTCATAGAGCTAATCATTGTGTCAAACAGGTGAAAATTGAAGTCTAATTCTTGTAAAGGACAGAAACATAAATGTCATAAATACGACTTTTAATTTTTTCATGACTGTCAACCTACCCACGTCATGTTACAAAGAGTGTGCAAAATGGTAATAATGAATTAAATAATCATTCAAAGAGGTATACATGCAAAAAGTTGTCCTGGGTCAAGCAAGAGGAGATCAACATACCGAAGGTAGCTCTTCAATGACAATAGCTCTGTTTCCATCCTTCTCAAAAAGTTCATATGCACAACGGGCATGTTGTTCCCACCGATCGAGAGCCTCCAGCTGATGAACACTTAATGCAGCTGCGCAGAATTCGTCAAAGTCCATCCGTCTATATTGAAGTGCATTTAGCTACCAAAAAGTGTACAAATATAGAGATTTAGATCACCACTTAATTTTGTATAGATTGCCACAACAGTAAAAACCAGAAGAAGCACCTACTGATGCTAGAAATTCAGGTATGCGAGACTCCTTCATAGCATCTGTTGCATTTTTCATCAGAGCCTGACCAGAGCAAGAGCATTAGATGATTATTCACAAGAAAACGGATGAACAACTATGAAGATTACAGGGAAAAACCAACCGCTTTAATATTTTCCAAGCTTATAGTGCCATTTTTATTTGGTTCCAATAGTGCAAACTGCTCCTTCAAGTAAAAGAGCTCATCCACGGTCAATGTTTTAGACAGAGCCTGCATAAATATCAGGAAAAGGGGAAATAAGCAAATTCAGCCATACAGGAGCTAGAAATCACACGCACAAAAAGGAAGAAACTTGTATAATAAAACTAGGAAAGCTATTAGGTAACTGGAGGAAGCTTCAAGTAATAAAAACGTCCAACAGTAATAAGATAAGCAATTAGACATCTAACAAAAGCTTCTTTTTTTTAACAAAAAAGTCTAATGGAAGCACTTATATCTAAAGTACCCTCTCACTTCATAAAGGAAGCAGGTACAAACATATTCATGACTAAGTGCTAAAACAAAGTTTGAGTCACTTTTTGCGACCTTCAATAATTATTTAGCTCCAATACAGAAACCACTAGGCAGTTCATACATTCAAGTTCAAATTTAGAGTGGTTTTATGCTTATAATTGGAGTGACCCCTAAAGCACCTTTCTAAAGTTGGCCCCAGATTCATACAAGTTGTTCTGACCTAAAACTTCCCAAACCCTGCCTGAGTGAGAAAAACACATGAAAGGAGGCATGTGTTTTCTACACACTAGCATAGACACACTAAGAATTACAGACAGAGAATAACGTTGAAATTTATCACCATATACGCACCCTTAAAGCAGCTTTCCGAAGAGATGAAGAGCGCAGGTAAGCCTTCATGAGTTTGAATATCAATATATCTAAGGGCACTTTCACGTCACTATAATTTTTTATCCAGGGATGACCTGCAGCAAACAATTGTGACTAACATTTCAAGAACACAAGAACAATGAGCTTATGGCAGAAAATGAGGCACTCACTCAAGGCTTGGGCTGCGGTCAATCTTTTCCTTGGGTCCTTATTCAGTATGCGCTTCACAAAATCCCTAGCCTCAGAAGATAGTGATGGCCAAGGTGCTTCATCAAAACTTGGATCAGCTTTTAAAACAGCTCGAAAAATCCCAGATTCTGTTCGGGCCCAAAATGGACGACTACCACACAACAGAATATATGCAATCACACCTATACTCCAGACATCTGCTTCTGTACTGTAAGACCTATGTAGAACTTCTGGTGCAACATAGTATGCGCTACCAACAATATCATTAAGCCTTTCATCTGCAAATAGAAAAATACAAAGAAAACATTAACAAATTAATAAAATGACTAAAGCAGTATAGCTTATGTAATAGGAAACGGAGTATAAACCTGGTTTCACAAAATCTGACAAGCCAAAGTCTATTGCCTTCAATTGCGAATTTTCATCCTTTGACGTAAACAAGAAATTCTGGTCCAGAAAATAGCTAAACTTAAGAACAATATCAGGTAATAGAATGGAGCACAACCAAGAAAATAAGCAGCAGTTTTCTGCTTAAGTTAGGTGCTTGTTCTTGAATGTTATTGCTTAACCAGGATATTTAGCCCAAATCTATGCTCAAGGAAAACCCTTAAATAGAAGTCAGAAATCTTATTTTTAACCCCAAAACCAGTGCAATACAACTTACTGAAAACATCAGAAAACCTGATTAAAACTGGAAATGTATTTTACCTCAGGTTTAAGATCCCGGTGCACAACACCCTGGAGATGGCAAAAGGCAACGACATTAAGTATCTGAATCATCACAGCTTTTGCATCATCCTCCGCGTATTTTCCACCCCTGCATATATAGAAGTATATGCTTCATAAGTAATAAAATAAAAACTATTCACTCATCCTCAATTTCCCACATTTTGCCACTCAATAAAATACAGAGCTTTGAAGCAGCTATTATTAGAAGAAATACCTTGAAAGTATCCTGTCCAAGAGCTCCCCTCCTTCACATAATCTGGAAGATGCATGGTAACTTATTAGAACCAGTTGCAATAGACCCCATGCAATGGTCATCAAACAGAAACAAACACAAACACAAAATATAATCATATTTTTCTTGACACTTACTCCATGACTATGTAGACGTTATCATGGTCCTCATACGCATCATAGAACTGTACGAGATTGTTATGTCCAGACAGAGCTCTTAATATTTTTACCTCCCTTCTAACATCTTCAATTGCAATTGCTGTGGTCATCTATCAACACAAAACAAAATCAGCAATGAGAAAAACAAAAAGCAGTTATCATAACATTTCAGTTCAAGGCACAAAATGTCTACTACCCAGAAATAAAGTTGTTCTGCTTTCAAAAGGCATAATTTAAAAACTATACTCAATACATTTATGGAAATAATTAAGTCTTAACAATTATGGAAGACACAGCAATCAGAACTGAACTCGGTGAGCATACATATTTAAATTTGAGCTATGATCAATCTATACTCCCTTCAGAAACTCAATAACTTCATATTTAAATTTATTTTTGCATTTGAGTAAATATAAGAATCTAATCCACGTTACTTCTCAACGGATCTCATTTGTTCAATGTCAGAAGTTTTCAACCAAATCAGTAAACAAAAACAGGAAAAATTTCTAAAAAAAAAAAAGGTAATAAAAACAACAAAAAATAAAAAGAGACCTTCGCTTTAGGTATAACTTTAACGGCAACTTGCTGTCCTTTAAACTCTCCTTTCTTGAACTTCGCCGCACAAGTATAACCGAAATGGCCTCTCCCGACCTCGTCTCCAAGCTCATATTTGCTCCCGAAGTGCTTCGAGAACCCGAAGCTCTTATCCAGTCCAGTACCGCCAGCTCCTGCCGCGGCAGCCGCCTCCGCCTCGCTTCCTTCCGGAATCGCAGCCTCATTCGGTTTCACAGACCCGTGCCGCCGAGCAAGCACCGCCCTAATATGCTTCGCCGGCGACGGTGGAGGGAACGGCCTCCTGAAAAACCGCTTCGGAGTCGAATTGGCCGAAGATCTCGCCGGAGACTTCTTGGAGAACAAGTAGTTAGCTGGACTCGGACTATAAAACGGGAAAAACGGAGATTTCTTGCCTTCATTGTTGGAATTTGAGCTTCCCTTCTCTTCATCGTCTTTACCTTGATCTTCCTTAGGGTTCCGGTTTTGGTTACCGTTTACTGAATCTGGCAAGGGCGAAGCTGGAATAGAGTTAGACTTACGGTGGATATCGTTATTCCGGGGATGAATAGGGGTATTTCTGGAGTCAGATTTAGGAGGAAACGAAGGGTTTGGGGAGGGCTTGGAAGTGCAAAGACCCATTGAGGAGTAAAGCCTATCTCTCTCTTTCTCTCCTTTCCCCCCCAGCCAGAGTGTAGGATTTTAAATCTCTCCTTAAACCATTTGAAGCTGGATAAAATTGAATTGAAAATCAAAAAGGAAAAAAAAAATTAAAGAATTAATATTTTTCTCCTTTAGAAAACAGAAGCTTTTTTTGTCCCTGGTGTTTGAAAGTGTGTTTATCGGAGAGATAGGGGATCTACAGATGATGATAAAAAGGAAACGACGATGAGTTCACTTTTTCGTTCATTAAAAAAATAAAGAGTAAAGAGCTAATTAATTTTATTTTGTTGTAATATGTTCTTTTTATTATTTAATTGAAAAAGATGGGTTAGCTTTTTGTGGGGCCAACGGGTGGTCCGGTGAATAATTTTCCACGTGTCGTGATTCTAGGGCAGTTGTTAATTAATTTGGTTTGGTTCATTTTTGATGCGCAGTAATTTGGTTACGAAATTTCGTGGTCTTTGTTTTCTTTTGTTAATTCGGCGTTTGCTTGCTTCCATCTTTTGGGTAGAATTGACATTTTTCCAATTCTGGTTACTTTTGTTGGATAAAGTCAAAACAACGCCGTTTAACTACTTTTGCTTCATGGATAAGGTCCTCATACTCCCGTCGTTTGTCACAGTGGTAGAGTAATATTAATTTTAGTCACTAAATATGTACATAAAATAAGAATTAAAAAAAATTGAGAGGAAAATTATTCTCAAATAACTGAGTACGATGGTTTTCTCTTTGTCAATATAAGAAACTTCTCTCTTCTTTCCTTTCCTTTTTTTTTCCTCTAAATATTTTTATTTTACCTTAAGCTATATGCAAATATTAATCCACATTTCAACCTAAGATCCATTTTTTCCAACGCCGAAAGAAATAAAATAAATATAATAATTTCAACAAGGAGCGGGTCCAATTCACATGAAAGTGGGGAGTAGTTAATGAATGGGGGAGAGTTCAAAATTTCCAAATATCGCACCATCTCTGACACTTTTCTTTTCTCCTTTTTCCTTTCCCCCCATGATGGCTCATGTTTCTAGTCATCTTACTCTAGAACGTGATGGTTTTATGCAATCGAGTAATTTGACATTTGGAAATGAATTATCCTTTGCAATTTTATTATTATTTTTTATAAATATATATCGTAAAATTTAAACTAAACTGTGAATGTTGATTAGATAGTAAATTATAACTAATTTCACATTAATACAATAAATTTTACATGCAGATTTGAATTTTACTCAATAAGCGATAATCAAAATTTAAGATTTTAATTTTTTTTCTTTTTCATTCTCCCGCGGACAATGAACATTTCTTTATTTAAAATTAATTTTTGATATGAACGATAAAAGAGGGCAGCCACGAATTAGGTGACTTGTAGACCTCTCGACATGTGTGATTTGTTTGTACGTATAGCAAAAAATAATAGTAATTATCATAAAATAGGGTAGCCCATCAGAAATAAATGTTGGGTTTTGAATAAGTAAGACAGCTACACCTACGGGGGAACATGGTATTAGAGATGTTTCTTTTTACTCAATCAATTATTCATTCCTTAATTACTTCAAACGAATTAAGCTGCCATTGAATTTGTCAATAAAAATTAAAAAAAAATTTAAAAAAAAACCAAGTATTCCTGCTAAAGGAATAAAAGTATAAAAAGGAAAAATGGTTAGCTATGTCTACGTGTGTTCTTACCTTAGAAGAAAAGGAGTTAAGCTATAAATTCATAATTCAAAACCTGCAATTCAACCATGTGCCTCACTAAATATGGTCAAATCAATAATAAATTAACAAGAAAAAGTTTCAAACCAAGAAAAAGTTGGCATTGAAATGGTGCAGGCGATCCCAATAGGGCAATCCAGCCGGTGAACCCTTGATTACCCTACGCCAAGGAAAAAAAAAAAAAGGAGCAGATCTGGTCAAATTCAAACTGTGATCCCTCCAGTTTGAAGGACCAATAGCAATAATCGTATGTTCATTATTGCACACGTATACTAAATGCAAACCATAATATCAATTCCAAATAAATTTCATGCCATAATAAAGACAAAATAATTTTGCAATTGAAGATTAAGTCAATGAAGATAATAACCATAAATAAAAGCAGTTATTTGAAATTTTAAAATATCAATTATAATGTTTTGTTCGAATTTAGATAGTAAAATTTTTCTTATTTAATGTATATTTTTTAATATATTTAAAAAAAATTAAACTCAAAAAACAAGATGGTGGTAGAAGTGATTACTGTTATTGACCTGTTTCGTTACTTTGTATAATTATTTTTTTAACCACTTCTCGTTCAAAATCATGAATCTGTTACTGTCAAATGCACTAAAATAATTTGAGCCCTATAACAATGTCCACAGGATTAAAATTGTAAAATGGAAGGGAAGAGAACGTGAAAAATGCAAACCCCAAAGAAAATTTGACTAATATCAGATGTTGACCATGTTAGCCTTCCATATTTTTTTAATGTTTGATTTAGATATGTAAGATCCTTTCAACCTTATAAACGCGTGATGGGGAAGCTCAGTTTCTTGACGTTTTAGCCAAATATTGCAAGATTCTTTCCAAACTTGCTCAATTCGTTTAGCTAAAGCAATTTCCTTGCTAATGCCATGCACGAAAATAAGTCCTTTTCCATGTAATATTCTTTGGTAATAACAGGAAATCATCGGTGATGTAAATTCCCTGGTGCAAAAAGTTTTGTATTATAATTGCACATTCCAATGTCTGCCTAATGGCTACAAGGTCCATTCCGAAATAAGCAGCCTGACAAATTGGCCATTTTAGGATAAAAAATAGGTGGAGTGAAGGGTAAGGTGGGAAGGGACTCCTTGTTCCTTCTTCCCTGGTTTAATTGGTCCCCACACCAAGGAAAATGAGATCAATTTTTATTTCTTTTGCCTTTGTTTTTAAACTATTCGAATCTTCATTGCAAACAAAGCTATATTCATTATTTTGTTGCCCACTCCAATGCTATGATTATAATAAATTCATTATCCAGCTCCCCACTATAATTTTTTGCTCTTCATACTCTTCACCATCTCAACGAAATGTTTTTAACATTGGTAAAAGTCTTAGTGATTAGTCCGAGAATCGAGGAATAATTAAGTCAGTAACAAGTTATACTTTTTAACATTAAATTGATAATTACAACCTTTTGGTGTTTATCTTATGATAAAATTTTAAATATCTTATAATCAAATACCTTATTTTATCTAAAAAAATATTTTATATTATCTGATTTGATTAAATAAGATTAGAGTACTTTATAATTGAGTTCAGATAGTAAAAGTACTACTAATCATGTGTTCAAGTAAACTTTGGATAATGATTTTAAGGTATTTACTACTTAAATCTGATTATGAATAATGATTTTTAATACTAAAATTTAATTTTATAGATTTTTTTGTTTATAATTAATGTAATACTAAAATTCATTAATTGTTTTAAGTGTGAATTTAAACTTTAATTTTTTTTTTAGGAACTAATCATTAATAATATACATAAAACTAATTTTAAATTTATTTTAATCGTATTTAACAGATAGAGATATTTAATGAGTTTGGATAACAACTCAAAATTTTAATTGGATATTCATAAAGTTTGAGTATCATATCAAATAATATAATTAGATTATAGTACCTAAAAAATAATGGATATCATATACATTGACATTCCAATAAAATTGTATGAAATTGAAGATTTCAATTTTAAAAAATTTAAATTTCAAACCTTAAATAAAAAATAAAAAAATGAAATATATAAGATAAAAAAAAATTTCACCTCGATCGGATTACAAAGAATTTAATAAAATCCACCATTTAATAATATTACAAAGAGGTTTAATTTATAGTATTTGAATTCGCCAAATGTATGAAAACTTGAAAATGAAGTTGTATTTTATTGATTAAGTGGGCGGTCGGAGATTTAATTAATTAAAATAGAAACTATGAATAATTAATTTAAACGAGGAAAATGCGTGGGATGCGTATGGTATGCAAATTGCTGCAGGAAGGCATCTTCCTCATGGCGGTAGTTGACCTGTGAAATTTGTTCGATATTGTCCAAATATTTGGTTACAAAAAGCTTCGTCCACCATGATGACAAGGTTTTGCCCAACTATGAGCAAATGGCCCTTTGACTTACTGGTTGGTAAATTATGGCCATTATGATTGCCATTCATGGGGTGGGCGGTGCCTATGCTTTTTTCTTGCAAAATTGGCGCCAAAATAAAGGTGAGGGTTAGGTTCTTGGCTAATCCTTTAAAATGGTTCCCACCTTCACCCACCGCCCTTTTTCCTCCACAAGGAGATTAAAAAACTATAAAAATAAATAAAAAAATAAAAGTAAAAAGTATAAGATTTGTCCATATTCAAGTTGTTTTAATTATGATCAAAATAAATTTAAATTCATAAAAAAATATATACACTTGTCATAGCATGAAATACTCAAATATGTTTATGTAATAAGTCGTGATGAATCAAAAGTTTTACTAACTTATTATATCATAAAATTCGTGTTGCTAATTTATATTTCGAAATTAACTTTGTTTGCCAAGGTGAAAATGACCCATTCGACAGAAAAAAAAAAAACTTAGAACATAATTTAAAATTAGAGAGAATGGTGAACATTGAATATGACCATTTAAAAATGATGATGAAAGGAGGGGCATAATTAAATATTGGTAACAATTTTTTTTTTGGGTCCTGTGGGTCAAAAGGGATCATCGAGTGCAATCAGGTCAAAAAAAAATTCTCCATAAAAAAGATGGAAGAGAAAGCACAACGAACTTGAACAATGAGTAGCAACAAAAGCGAAGGTTGTCCCACTCCACTGATAACTACATCTGCAATATTTTTTATGTGCTCAAGTCCCACAACTGATGCGCATGCTTACCACGCCTCGAGAAACAATTTTAGTGGATGAATCCACAACCCTTCATTTCTTTTTTTTTTTTCCCCTTTTTTCTCGCTTTTGTTTTGTGCCTTCTTCTCTTTAAGCTATTGTTTTCAGAGCATATAGTTAGGGATTTGTACCTTCTCTTTGGCTTGGCTCTAGGGAACCACAAAATCTATATATACACTTAAAAATATAAGTAAATACCCATAAGTTTTTTGCGTGCGTTTGGACGTATGAATCTTTTAAAATCCTAAAATATTTTTAGGAAGATGGGGATTGATAAGGGTTTGAAGATATATGGTCCAGAGAGTTGGTGTGTTTTAAGCCTATGCAGTGGTACATATGACTATGATCTTCTTGAGAGTCCCCTGGCAAACTACAGTTCGATGGATTTTGAAAGCATATGCTTCCACTAAACACAAAGCTTCCAAATGAATTTTGCCTTAAGTGCGAAACCGCTTGCAACTTCTAGAAAGTAGTATGGTAGATGAGTTTCCTTGTCTGGGGTTTGCATAGTTTGCACTCTTTTGGACTGTTTTGCATCAGTTTTTTACTAACTTACGTAAGGAAAGACCATTTGTTTTCCTTCCGGGGATTGCAAATGGTGCCAATGAGGAGTCTGTGTCTGGGAATTTTCAAAACCTTGTAGGTATGCATTTGGCCGATACTGTCTTATCAACCTATTGCTTTTGCATTTGGCATGAATACATTTATGGTTACTTTGTGCATACTTCAAGTATTTTAACAAACGAAACCGACTTATACAGCCAGAAAACTGCATACTAATCTACCGAGACTGCCTTGAATTAGGCCCAGTATCTTGTCTCTAATTAGTCCAGCGACATTGCTTACTTATTCGCTTGAATTACCAGATGGAAAAATGCTAAAAACATCTAGTATTCAAGTAGGAACTACCCAGATGTTCTGCTCACCCCTAAACCAGATTGGCAGGTCCTGTTTGGTTGAGATGACTGATATCACCCCAGGCTTTTATGGTCCACTCATCAGCACCAGATAAGTGAAATATGTTGACAGAGGTATTGGGTATACTCCCCCTAAACCTCTTTGAGCAAGCCCGCCTGTAGAGCGCTCTTATGACACCTCCATGAGTGACTACAACCACTCGCTCTCCTGCCATAGGAAATAAGCAACAATCAGATCATTTGAACCAGAAACATATTCTCCTAGCAACATTGTCAGATAAAAGTAGAAATCTTAAGGCAAACAAAGTCACACAGGAAGGTTTGATGGTACATGGAAGTACCTAAGGGTAAAAATGAAAGTAATCTGCTCTATAGCTTGGTTACAGTTTGGGAGTTCAAGTTCCCTTTGTCAAATGGCATTATCTACCTGTATGCTTCTGACCAATTCTTTGCAATGAAGATGTAGCACGGTGATAGAGTTGGTCTAAGCTTTCTCCACCTCCCTGCATGCATAGTTAAACATCATCATCATCATAACTTTCTAGATGCTTCATAAATTGCAGAAGAACAGCGCTGCCATGCAACGCCACTATATCATTGAAGAAAAAAGACTTATGGCCAGCAGATTGCTGCGACATATCAGCTAACCATTGATTGATATTTTGCTCCAACAGTAAGATTGTGCCTACTAGCAAACTGTTATTGACAACAAGCATAGTAACAAAAGAGTTTCTTTTTCTTGGCACGGGAGGCTGGTACTTGTAACATTAATCCACAACAATGCTGAACGCCTGCAGACCCTTCTCAAAAGGAAAAGACTACCAAATCATGACAAATTCTTTCGAAAATTTCTGCGTTAGGCATGTTTAATGGGCAAATACATGCCAAAAACCAGCTGAATTCGCTGTAAAAGCAAGTGTCTCATTTGTACAAACCATGATTACCACCTATCAGGCAAAAGCAAATAACTCCTGATGTGTCCTGTAGGTAGTTAGCTTGCTCAATTCTCCTGTTTGGAGAGCCTACCAATTAAAAAAAAATTGTTTGCTCAAGTAATTAAGGTGCCATTGCAGCGATAGACAAAGCTACTCCCGATGCCTAACTCCTAACAAACAATTTTTTTGAGGACTGTGGATTGTTTTTGAGGATAAAAACAAGATTTAGTTAAATTAACAAAAGCCAGGAGGCCAACCTCAGCCCAAAATTGGCCCAATATTGCCTTGTCTTTTTTCTCGTTTGATAGAGCAGCTGGCTCAAGCACATTTAAGGGAAAATTCAGCTTGAGCATGACTCAGTTGGGGGCCGTCCCAACTACAGCAAAGCAAAATAACAAGAAAAGCAGCTTCCTTTTAACAAAAGGTGAGACAAGAACATTGACCTTGAAAACCACGCTTGGCAACTGATACATTATAATGTCAAAACTATTCTGCAAACTGCATGCATTGTCAAATTTTGACATAAAAGCTAAAGCAAGCTATTGTCTAAACCAAAACCCTTAAAAATTTTGAAGTGCTATAGATAAGCTAAAGATAAATCTTCCTCAAAGTTCATCAACTTTGTATTAATTTTCTGTCAACAAAGCATCAGCTACTAATTAACTTACTGGTATAACTCGATCAGTTCTGCGAGAAGAAAAGGCTCTATAAGCCTCGGGACTAACTTTGGCTGCTTCACGGTATAGAAGGCCTTGAACATCCCCTACATGTCTCTCCCTCAGCTCTGGATCTTTCATAACCTTAAAAATTCACATCCAACAAATATATGTGTTACAATTTTTGCATTTAACAATTTGAGAGCTAATTGCATGTTGGACGCTACTCAAATCCCAAAACATAAACTAAACCAATGGATTCTTGAGTTCTTGATGCATATGTTTTGCTTTGGCAAATCTCACCTCTTTCTGACATAAGATACAATCACAATGAAACTCATCAGTTCTAACTTCCAAGCACTGTATATTAGAGTCCAATTTGAGAAAATTCAACAGTGAAAGTTCGTACCTGAAGCTTCCCACAGCTTGCAGCAATCGTCTCTGCTGTTTCAAGAGCTCGGTTCAGATCAGAAGAATATATGGCGGATATATTAGGCTCTCGGAAGAGTCGTTCAGCCAACTTCACAGCCAGAAAGAAAAAGTTTTCAAGCATCAGCATCAGATATAAAAGAAAGATCGAAAAGGGCGAGAAATTATTACTAGTAAACAACATACTAAAGCTGCTTGTTGTCTCCCAACTTTGTTTAGTTCAACATCCAAATGTCCCTATTAAAAAAAAAAGGAAATTAACTAGAGAAAAACTAGTATAAATTTCCTCTAAAAATAATTGTAAAATTAAGGTTATCTAAAGGAGAGACGGACAGACTTGAATTCTTCCAGTAGCGTTCCATTCTGTTTCTCCATGACGCACTACGATAATTTCAGTGTAAGCTTGATCCATGGAGCTTTTAATTTAGCACCAAACTTCAATCAGATGAAGGAAAAACCAAAAACTAAATATTCTCAAATGAAACTTTTTTTTCTTTTTTTTTTCCTAAAGTAATTTACCTAAAACTAGGTTCGGACATAGATATAGTTCAATTGATTTAGTGAGTTGGTGATGAGTACAAACGGCCAAGTTTTGTCGTGGACGAACATTGTTGTGGAGAAAGTTTTTAGTCGGCGGACATTTCAAGCTGACAGGAATCTAAACTCACCTTGCGACGCGAAGGTGAAAAGCCAAGAATTGCGCCGTCTTTGAGTATGGTATAATAATTTTATAAGGTTTTCATTGAATTTATTTGTAAAATTCATCATTTGTCATATTAATATTAATAAAATAATATTTAAAAAGAATTTAAATTAATTCATAAAATTTAAATAAATTTTTATATTTTTATTACATTCAATCAAAATTTTCTTTTAAATCAAAAGTTTCTTTTAAATCAAATAAGTTTTTATTAAGAAAGATTACCTCATTTATTAAAAAATATAAGAGCTGTTCCAAAATGATGTTTGTAAGTAATAATCCCTAGTGAGAATGGCTTGAATTAGGCCAATTATCTCACCTTTAATGTTCTGGTGCCATTGGCTGAAATAATCAAATTACAGAATGCTATAGGCAAGGCATATATCAAACTCCAAACTAACCAGATGTTTTGTCCCCCCCAAAACCCGACTTCAGATATCCTGTTTGCTCGAGATGACTGATGTCACCCCAGGATTTTATGGTCCATTCCTCATCAGACACGTGAAATATGTTTACAGATGTATTAAGCACCTTCCCCATCGGCTTTCCATCCGGGCAAGCTCGCTTGTAGAGTGCTCTAAGGACACCACCGTGGGAAACCACAACAACTCGCTCTCCTATCACGGAGGTAAGCAACAATTCAGAAATTTAAACCAGAGATATATAACAGCCCAGTGATCTTATGAGGTAACAGTATTGGAAGGCAAGTAAAGTTGTTCAAACACTTGTACAGTTCAGATATTTACAGCAACAACATCTTGTTATCAGGTTTAATGGAATGTACTGAAGTTATGATGAGTTCTAAAAGTTAAACAATACATAACATCAAACTGTTCATAAACGATACTATTTACACCTTGATTATGATTCAAGAGTTTTTCGCCTTTCACAAACGAGACAACATACCTTTATGCTTCCTACCAATTCTCTGCAATGAAGATGTGCAACGCTGATAAAGTTGGTCTCGGCTTTCTCCACCACCCTGAATATGTAGTGAATCAGGCATTCAAATGTATACTAATGTGAAAATGGCGTTTAATGCCCAAGCAGACATCTAGACTTTTTTCTATTGTAATCACTTATCCAATTGAAGGCTGATAGACAAATTTTGTAACAGGACCACATGCTATATTAGTGATTAAAAGATTATTCAAACAAACAAGGCTTACAACTAGTTAATAACTGGCACAGATCAACAAACCATCAGTAAACATATAAATATACAGTGAAGAGCAATCAGTACTACAACTTCCACAGTAAGTATGCTTGGGCAGAGTCGCAGATTGTGATTAATAATGACTTGCTAGTGACACGGCCCAAAATTACGGGTATCTGACAATCATTTCCTTCCAAGTAGGGAGAGGATGATAGCTGCAACATCAAGAAAAACTAGATTCCCCTTAGTCCTTTTCAACTTTAGAATGTCTTCCAAAACTTTGGCCTTCATTTTAGACCAGAAGTTGTAATGATAACCTTAGGCTTAAATGTTAGAAAGCCATGCTTCAAATGATGATTTGAACATAGTTCTGCAAATTATATGCAATATTATAAAAGCCAGAGCCAGCAATTGTCTAGCCAACAAATTACTAATTTAAATATAGAATATATTCTAACATTAAGAAAGCCAGAGACAAATTTCTTTCAAGACTCCCCAATGTTGTCTTTCAAGTTCAAAACAATCCTAACTTACTGGAATATCTTGATCTGTCCTGTGAGATAAAAAGGCCTTGTGAGCTTTGGGATTAAGTTTGGCTGCTTCACGAAATACAAGGCCTTGAAGATCCCCTAAATTTCTCTCCCGTAAGTCTTGATCTATTATAACCTGGTTCACATCCAACAAAAAGGATTACTGCAAAACTTCACATATAATACCAAGCGCTTTCAAGCTAAAGACAACATCTAGCATCATGAAAAATTTGAACCAAAGAATTCAAAAAGCAACTGCCTTACAACTGCAAAGCCTGCTGTTTAACAACATTGCTTTGAGATTCATACCTCTAACCCACCACACGTAGCTGCAATTGTCTCAGCTGTCACAAGAGCTCGCTTTAAATCAGATGAATACACAGCAGATAATTTAGGCTCCTTTGATAGTCGGTCAGCCACCTGTAAGTGAGAGGCAGGGGATAAAGAATAAGCTTAAGGCATCAGCATCAGAACAAGAAAGGTCATATGAGCAAAAAGTACAAGTAACATACTGAAGCTGCTTGCTGTCTCCCAGCTTCATTTAGTTCCACATCCAGATGCCCCTATTAAAAGTTAAAACAAAAATAAACTTATCAGGGTAGCAAGATACACTGCTAGATTAACCAAGATATCCACATAACAATAGGATCAATTGGCACACATGTAATCAAAAATAGAAGGAACAATATGTCTAAGAGGTTAATCAAAGGAGTCAGCAGCGTGGTTATATCCTTCTTGTGAAAATTGTTCTGTCCAAGTACCTTGTCCAAGATTCATCAACCTATGATCAGTAATGCAATCACGAGAGTGAAACTGATAAGGCCACGTTGTTCATCCAATTGCATTCTAGTATATGAAATACGTTATTCAGATAATAAACCATTTGTGCTGTTTAAGTTCCAAACAAAAATTTACACATATTATCTATCCATGCGAAATTCAACTGGCCAAGTTCTCTGCTTTCCTACTTAAATGCAGCAATACTTCTTCTTTTCTATCCTACTTTATCCAATTCTGAAATCCCCAAACACTATAATATATAAAGTGTGAACATTTACTTCATTTCCGGAATCTCAAAACAGACTTAAAATCTTTCAACATCAAATTAAATACTAATTATTTACCAATAATAAATCTAACTGATTAAAGATTAAAATTAGTATTCCAAACAAATAAAATAAATAAATAGATCATAGAAGCTCCAGCGCATGACATATCCCTAAATATCCGATGGCATCCGGAAAACAAATTCGATTTTTGACTTTCCAAATTCCAAAACACACAAAATGATTAAAAATTAAAAAAAAAATTGTAAAAATTTTGGAGAAATTCAAACCTGAATTCTTCCATCAGCATTCCACTCCGTTTCCCCATGTCGCAGCACCACAATCTCAGCATAAGCTCCATCCACGCAGCTGTAAGGTAACAAGTTTATTAAACCAAAAAAAAATCTTTCTTTTTTAGTTTTCAAATGAGTTTTAGTATTAAAAAAGTAGCAAAATTTAAGGATCAGTGCGTCTACCTAGAGTTAGAGTCAGACATCGGTACCAAGTCGGGCGATGTGACAAGGTGAGTTGGGTGGCGAGTTGGCAAAGCTTTGTGGAGGTGGAGTCGAGTTGTTGTAGTTGCAGAAAATTTCACGCAAACTGGCATCTTAACTGACCTTGACGAGAAGCGTGGGAAATAACGACGCTCTGCTACATGGCGCTGGGTGCGTATTGCGCTCATCTTTTCAATTCCTCTTTTTCTTTCCCTTTTTAAGAAGAAAAACGTGCTTAAGTGCTTTTCTCATGTCGTATTAACTGTTAATGCAGCAATTGTGATGATTAGGGCCTAATTACGAACCTCTGCTGGCAGGAAGTCTGTCCAAAGACACGTGGCATCCACAAGACAAATTAGTTTAAATTTAGCACGTGGTTTCTTTATTTACTAGAAGAATTCCCGTGGAATTATTTTGTTAATTTGGATTATTGTGTTTAATAAAATTTTTTTGGTAATTTAGATTATTATTTCAGTGAATACGAAGGTACTCAATTAAAATACGTTGGAAGGAAGGAACAATCTAAAATTGATGGGACTAATAAAATATATAAATGTAGCGTTAGTTTATGATAAAATTATCTATGAATAATACAAATTGTAATATAAGATAGAATATAATATTATTTAATCTTTTATTGAGAGGGCATTATTTTTAATGATAAAATTGTTTATAAAAAAAATAATGTTTAATATAAAACATATTGTAATATTATTTAACTTAATTTTGATAAGCATTCTTTCGACAATCAATTAAAATAAGTAAGCTACGATTATTTTTAATTTTAAGGTAAAATTCGAATAATTTTAAATAAATTTTATGAAAATTCTATTAATTTAATTTTTAAAATTTTTAAAAATAAATTAGTTGATATTTAATTAAGACGATATACATTTAATTTAAGTGGACCGACCATATATATTGAGTAGGTTCGGAGTAACATGTAAATTAATTTACTTGTGAAGAGAGCAAAATCAGGTTGCTCAATTTGACAGTTTCAGCTAATAACCATCATCTCATCACGATGAAATAGTGGAATGTACTATATATAATTTATTTAGTCTAAGCACCTTTTTTACAGTATTTTGGAAACGACTCCCTTAAAAGAATATTACTTACTCCCTGAATATGACAGTAAACTCAAGGCCTGAGAATGACCTAAAGCGTGCATGGCTGGCATTAATTGACATCCAACTCAATGTATATACATATCTAAGAATTTTGCATTAACAAAGACCAAGAGCAAACGTGATTTGCACAAAAACATGGCTAAAACACACCGCTAGGCATCGAAGACTTGAAACGAGTATTAGGTTTAACTCTAATTATATCGATGAATATACTAATTAAACAAACATAAGCTATTGTTTGGTTTATTCTATAGTTGAATGAGCTGTCATCACGGCCAGGTCTGCCTAACCAATAAATACTTATAATTAGTTTGTCCCTTTGCAAATAGTTAGGTCAGAGCTGGAGAAATAATAGTATTATATATAATTTCCTTCTTTCTTGTCGTAAGTAACATAATCAATGAACTTTATATAAAGGATCTTGGTCATACTTTTGAGCTCAAAAATAAGGGAAAAATGAACAAAAATCGAATACAGAAGTGTAAAATTCCAGAGTTACAGGCGGGGGAAAAGATTATATTCCAGTAACTTTTGTTAGGCAGGTCATTACCCCCATGCATGTCGAACAAGAAAAAGCTTGAATCGAACTTTGAGCATTGAAACTACGAACAGGGTCATGGAGGCTGGATCTAAAGCGTTATTATTGGAAGTATGATCTAAGTAAAGAATTATAAGTTCACCCGATTAAGTATGGAGTCAATGGGATGCTAGCAAAACTCATTATTTAAATTAACATTATAACTCTGCATAGGTTTTCGGATGAAGACTTTAAACCAAGATTAATGAAAAACTACCCAATAACTTGTCACCACGTAACCATCCATTTCATTTATTGACGAAATCAAATAAACATATTGATTAAAACAAAAAAATTGGTCCCCTCGTTGTTGTCTTAAGAAAATAATTGATATAATATAATAAATAGACAAACAAGTCAAATAAAAAAAAAGAATTACTAACGTGTGACATGTGAATGAAGTTAATCACAATTAATCAATTAAGTTAGGTAATTAAAACAAATCAAGATAAATTTAAAATTTGACTACAGTCAACGAAGGTGAGGCCACGGTTACCATGAGGTTCAATATTAAACCTGTTTCCTATGGGCCATGCTCTGCACCCTTTAATTTTATTCGAGTGAAATTTGCTATAAATAAACACTATTTAAACTTGGATCAGCGTATGCTTCATAGACTAATATTGCAACTTTAAGTTTAATTGATTAAGGAGCTCCTTGGAATAAAAAATGGCTAGTCGTTTTGCAAAAGGGAAGATGGTAACAGTACTGAGTATTGATGGAGGTGGCGTCAGAGGCATTATTCCTGGCACTCTTCTTTCTTTCCTCGAATCCAAGCTTCAGGTATACCTCGTTAAACAGTAAATTTTCTTTCCTTTTTCTGCTCAGCATCATTATTAATCAACGGCTTAAGTTTGCTTCCATGTGGTTGATTTTTATACTTCGTAAATTAGGAGTTAGATGGAGCAAATGCAAGAATTGCAGATTACTTTGACATTATTGCAGGAACAAGCACCGGTGGGATGATAGCTACCATGCTTACAGCTCCAAACAAGCAAAACAGACCCATGTACGCAGCAAAGGATATCAACAATTTTTATTTGGAGCACTGCCCCAAGATTTTCCCTCAGAATAGGTGAATTCTAATGGAACTACCATATTCCTTATTGCTTGTATTTGTTACTTATTTTGAGGTTGGTTTATTATCAATTAATTTTAAATTGAATGGTTTAGTATAAAGATCTTCTATAAGTATAATAATAATAATAATAAATTTCAGCTGATTTTCTTCTTTTTTTGGTCGGAAGCAGTCGCCTTAATTTCCTGGCCTCAATGGCAAGTTTCTTCAGAGCAACATCGATGGGACCAAAGTATGATGGGAAGTACCTAAGGTCATTGACAAACCAGTTACTAGAAGACATTACTCTAAAGCAGACACTGACAAATGTGGTTATACCAGCTTTCGACATCAAGCTCCTACAGCCAGTGATCTTCTCTACCAACGATGTACTGATTTAATAGCTTGTCAAACACCTATATGTATGGAGTTTGATGTATTACAGTGTTTGTTGCACTTGTTTTTCTTTTTGGAAACAGGCGAAGGCAGATGCTTTGAAGAATGCTAGGCTAGCAGATGTCTGCGTCAGCACCTCTGCTGCTCCCACTTTTCTCCCCGCACACTACTTCGAAACTAAGGACGCTGACGGGAAAACCCGCACGTTTGATCTCATTGATGGTGGAGTTGCTGCAAATAATCCTGTCCGTACATTTGTTCATTTGGGAATGCTTTATAGATTGAAATTGAACAAATTTAATAATACAAAAATAAAAACATTTAGATGAGAGCTAGCCCAAGAGTTCAGCATTTTTTTTTTTATTTTGAGATATTAACCAATGTGTATTCTTTAACCACGAATCTGAATTTGCAGACAATGTTAGCTATAAACCACTTCTCCAAGGAGATCTTGAAGCATAGTACAGAATTTGTGGAAATCAAACCGATGGACAGCAGGAGGATGCTAGTGCTGTCACTAGGCACTGGGGAAGCCAAGCATGAAGAGAAGTATAGCGCAGCTGCAGCCTCCAAATGGGGCATGATCAACTGGCTCTATGACAAAGGGAAAACTCCATTGCTTGATGTCTTCTGGGACGCTGGCTCTGATATAGTTGACTTTCATATCTCCACTCAGTTCCAATGCCTTCACTCCAAGGACAATTATCTCCGTATTCAGGTAACCACGGAAAGCAATTCAATGTAAAGCCATACTTAATTATCAATTAAGAATTTAATCAAAAACTGTATTGAATACTAACTTATCTTCCTGGTGGTTAAACCAGGATGACACATTAACGGGTGATGCAGCATCGGTTGACATTGCAACTGAAGAGAATCTGCAAAAGCTCATTGGAATTGGGACAGAGCTCTTAAAGAAGCGAGTCTCAAGAGCGAATTTGGAGACAGGTAAGTTTGAGGAAGTTGAGGGAGAGCCTACCAACGAAGCAGCCCTTGCCAACTTTGCTAAGAAGCTCTCCGAAGAACGAAAGCTTAGGCTTGCACCATGAATTGAGATTTTAATGTAATACTTCCTCCTATAAAGCTTTGTAGCATTATCTTATCAATTTGTTTGCCAAAATAATAAGGTCACTTGAGCTTAGATGTTGGGGTTTGATAGGATTCAAAAGTTCGAGTTGTAGTATTCTTCTTTTGTAATATTAACAAAAATATAAAACATTTTAAGTGATAATTGAAAATGTTTCATCAATGCAACAAATTTAATTAGTAAATATACATTTTGGATTGTGAAATTCAATAAAAAGGGAAATATGATGAGACAAGATAAGAATGTTATAATATAAAACTTAATTAATTCAAGATAAATAATAAATAAAATAATAGACATACGATAATTTCATTTGATTGGTTGTTTCATATATAATTTTATATTTTTTATTTTTAAATTTAAATTTAAATTATTTAATATATCCTTCTTTCATAAAAAGACAAGTGTTTCGAAAATAGGAATTCAACATGTGATGTGAAGAGGGAGGAGGGCAGATGGCTCTTGACACCAAATAAGTTAGTATTTTCGGTAACTTTAATTTTGTCACGCAGCTCATTGCCTCCCATGCTTATTGGAAAAGCTTATTCCAACTTTAAAGTTAAAAACTACCAATAAAATTTCATGGAGGCTGGTGCTAAAGCAATTTATCCGAAGCACGCTTGTTTAGGCGGCCGGCGTGCATGTGCTAATATATACTAATTGCATTAGTTATGAGTTCGATACCAACAACCTCTTTCATGTTTATTGTTTAACAATATTGATTTTCCCGATGACCAAACAGGATGAGACATGGAGTAGAATTTGCAAAATCTTGTAAACATAATCGAGATTTTGATATATAACGCCGTCCTTGTAAAGCTTGGGATCAATAGCATCCCATTGTGATACAGAATTCTCTTTGAGGGTGGCTGCAATTGCTGACAACCCAAGAACACATCATCTGTGCAAAAGAAGAGATAAAATAAATCAAGATGCTCTCTCCTTTTATGTTCACAACACATCATCATCATCAATAATTATTGGTTTTAAACCAGAAAGTGTATTGTTTAGTGGATACTTATAACAACTCTCCCCTTTCAGCTAGGCAAAGGTGACTATTAACATTAAATAATTACTACTAGCAACTAGTAGATTAGTTAACAGATTAGAGCAAAGAGGCCGTAGCAAAAGTGATGCATGTGAAGTCGGTAATGATCAACCAAGCAAAACGATGTGAAAAAGAAATACAAAAAAAAAAATAAAAAATTTGGACATAAAACCAATATTTCTGATGAGTTAATGGTTACTATAGTCAGCATGGATGAGTAATAAAGGGCATGAACCTTACTCTATTCTCCCACTTTTTGCTATAAATATACAGTTTTGATCATCAGTATCAGGTTCAAAATGAACTGATAATTTCATTCTCAACAAAAAACTGTGGAATTTTTGAGCAGCTAGCTCTCTTTTGAATCAAAATGGCCAGCAGTTTTGCGAGAAAGAAGATGGTAACAGTCCTGAGTATTGATGGAGGTGGCATCAGAGGCATAATTCCAGGCACTCTTCTTGCCTTCCTTGAATCCAAGCTTCAGGTTTACCTCATCAAACAGAATTTTTTTCCCTTTTTTTTTAGCAACATTATCTGTTCATGTTTTCAGTTCTGCATATACATATGTATATATATTTGTGGTTGATCAATGTGTTAGGAGCTGGATGGACCAAATGCAAGAATTGCAGATTATTTTGACATCGTTGCAGGAACAAGCACTGGTGGGTTGATAGCCACCATGCTTACAGCTCCCAGCAAGGGAAGCAGACGACAACCCATGTACGCGGCAAAGGACATCAACAATTTCTATCTGGAGCACTCCCCCAAGATTTTCCCTCAGGACAGGTAAAACTCTAATGGAACGAGAAACGTCTATTAATAATCCAGCTATTCTTCAAATTAGCTAACCATCTTTTTTTCATAACTTCAAAAAATGTTATAATTAGCAGCACCAATGCATCGATGGGACCCAAGTATGATGGGCAGTACCTAAGGTCATTTACAAACCAGTTACTTGGAGACATTACTCTCAAACAGACATTGACTGATGTGGTTATACCAACTTTCGACATCAAGCTCCTGCAGCCAGTGATCTTCTCAACCAATGATGTACGAATCAATTATTATTGCCATTAATTACTATTATTGTTATTGTTGTTGCTATTATTATTAAATCGAACTTTTCTTTAGGCGAAGGTAAATGCTTGGAAGAATGCTAGGCTAGCAGATGCCTGCATCGGTACCTCTGCTGCTCCTACTCTTCTACCTGCGCATTACTTTGAAACCAAGGATCATACCAATGGGACAATCCACGCATTTGATCTCATCGATGGAGGAGTTGCTGCAAACAACCCTGTGAGTGCAAATTTATTTAATTTTCTCACAAAAGCAGGCAAATAGAACCAGGCTAATTATTAGCTGACAAAATTAATTTGTAATAGTTAACAACCATTTAACCTAAATCTGTAGACTCTAGTAGCTATTAGCCACGTTTGGATGGAGATCATGAAGCGAAATGCCGATTTCATTGATATCGAACCGATGGATAGCAAGAGGGTGCTTGTGCTGTCACTTGGCACAGGCACCACCCCTATGGATGCACCAAAGTATGACGCAGTTAAGGCCTCCAATTGGAACATGTCGGATTGGATCTTCCACAATGGAAATACACCACTTCTCGATGCTTGTTTGCATGCAAGCTCTGATATGGTTGATTTTCATGTGACTGCTCTCTTCCAATGCAGTCGTTGCAGTGAAAATTATCTCCGTATTCAGGTATACAAAGGACCTAAGTTGGATGGGCAATCTCCATAATCATGTCCCAACTCCTAAGCAACTGAAATAAAAATTCAGCATCATAACTGTTCTCCACGTAAAATATAGGATTAATGTTCTTTCATGTTTTTGCCGGTGATTAAACAGGATGACACATTGATTGGCAATGCATCGACGGCTGACATTGCAACCGAGGAGAATTTGCAGAAACTTGTGGAGATTGGAAAGGAGCTCTTGAAGAAACGAGTTTCAAAGCTGAATTTCGAGACTGGCCAGTTAGAGGAAGTCGAGGGAGCGCACACAAATGAAGAAGCCCTTGCCAACTTTGCTATGAAGCTCCATGAAGAGCGAAACTTTCGCCTTAGGGCCTTGCAGGAAGATTGAGATCTTCCCGAGTATAATGCTGTCTCAAATAACCTTGGGAGTTTTCATCTATCACTTCATAAAGTTCTTTTTGCTTATTTCTTTTAATGGCAAATCAGAGGAGATTGCAATAAAGAACTAGACTTGACAATTTTATCTCTACCGTATACCATCCAATGTTAAACCAACAGAAAGGACATAACAATAGAAAGAAGCCGGTAAAAACAATGCATTCCTAGGACTTTCAAATGACTTTTCATTCTTCTAATTATTTGGTTTCGAAAACGACAGCATTGCCAAATAATAAAAGCTTAGGACTTGCGTCGGAGGTAGCAATAAATCAGACTCATAATGCATAAATTTCAGAGAACTCCCAACAGGAGAAATTTCTTTCCTTGATCTATAACAGCAGCGATGGAGTCATTTGTTAATGAAAGAACGGAGAACTATTTGGGCCAAGCAGGAGAATCAGACAAAGGAAGCAGAATCACCTTGGAGGCCAAGGTGGCAGAACTAAGGAAGATAAAGGAAGAGCTAAAGAGAGCCAAGGATAATGCCACAGAATCATGGTTAGACTCCAAACCTCTCATCGATGAGCTTGAAAGACTAAAATCAGACCTTGCCACTGCTCAAAATCAATGTACTATTTCTGATAATTTGATTTTGGAGCTTGAATCACAACTTGAGACCATCATCATAGACATCAGATCCAAGAGAGAGGAAGAACTCAAGGCCACGAAGATGGTCAATGAAGTGAACCAAGCCCTGGAACATGCGCGTGAAGAGTTGGATCAGTTGAAGGTGGACAAGGATGAAGAGCACAGAACAAGATCAAAGCTAAAACAAACCTTGCGGCTAAGGAGGCAGACTCTTCGGACGTTGCAACTCACACTTCGAGCCGTGCGAATAGAAGCAGAAGCTTTTGGGGCATCTGCAGCAGAAGCTCTTGGCTACATCAACCATCCAGAATCAGACAGTTCCCCAGTACAACTCACACAGGAAGACTACTATGCCCTAAAGAGAAGAGCGAAAGAAGAAACAACATTGGCAGATTGGCGGGTTTCTGTAGCCATGGAACAAAAGGTTGCAGCAGAGGCAGGGCAAAACTCAGCTTTAAAAAGACTAAAAGAAAAACATCCTGACAACAGATTAAGGAGGAGAACGGCAGAGGACAAGAAAGTCAAAGATGAAGAAACAAAAGAAGAGGAGGCAGGAGATCAGGACTTGACTAAGCAAGGAGTAGACAAAGTCCTGAACAGAGGATTTGCATTCCCAAAAGCTCGAGCCAAAGCAATTGCCGAGTATAAGCACGGGAAGCCACAACAGATGAGCAAGACAAAAAGCAGGAAAAATAAAGAGTCTAAAATGAAAAAGAAAGAATCCATTTTGCATCAAATAAAAAAAGTTGTCTTCTGCGCATAAACAGACTGTTCAGATAAGCTCAAACAGACATGTAAGCAAAAATACAGTTTCTGCTGGGAATAAAATGTCACATCTGCTTGACCAGAAATCCAAAGGAAGAAAAGACAATTCTGCATTAACATTCATTCATGTTTGAGAATTTCCTGAAAAGAGATATAGCAAGTTTTTTCCTACACCAAAGCCTGCACAACAGAATAAACTCCATAAGATCATAAGAATGGACATGTATGTACAAGTCCATAGAAAATAAAAATTCATACCTGATTTCTCCTAAAGCCAACCACAGACTGTAATGAGAATAACTCCAACGCATTGAATACATGACAATGTAAGCAAAAAAACAAAAAAACCCAAAATTGATCCTTCTAGACAAAAGGCTGTCTACATATCAAATCACGGTTTACTAGACAAAGTGAAACATAGAGAATAAGAAAGCAAACAAAAAACTTGTTCCTGTACCATAATTTTGGCTACAATCTACTGAAACATTCTAGAGTATGCCTTTTTCTCCTGGTCTTGTCTATCAGCAATCTGCAGTAGTTTTACAACTTCAATTACCTCCAGAGATGAAATTAAAGGGAAGTGCAAGGAAAGCATTAAATATTGTGAAATGTTCAATAAAAAAATAGGTGATGATCATCAACCTTCTTCCTGGCAGCTACCAGCTCTTTTTTTATTCCACCTGAAGGGTAGAAAACATGATATAAGAGTTCTACTAAAAGTATATAATTGAATGATTTTGATGAAGTAGTACTACGGATAATAGCAAGAACTAATTAAGGGCGATGGTGATTTGAAGTCAAGTTTCATACTCACATTATTACCGTATACAGTTTCACCAGGTGACACATTACATGGACCAAATATGACCACCTAGCAAGCTTAATGACCCCCTTCCCAACCTCAAACAGGAAAGGGGAAGGAAGAGAAGGGAGGAGGGAGCGGGGAGCGGGGAGCGGGGAACGGGTTTAGCAGCTGATTATTCAGGCCAGACAAATTTGTTAAATTAATGTTGCTATTTCACAAGAGACAAGATTGTACTGACCATCATTTGGCTCTAAGTTCAGTGCCTTTTTAAAGCTCTCAACTGCAGCATCTATGTCATTCAGTGCCATATATGCCTGACATCAATGAAAAATGCATGTTGTGAAAAAAGCATCCTAGGTAAACATACAATAAACCATTTAATATTTGAACTACTAGCATGTCAATGCAAACAGATAGCAGGCAACTTTACGCCTAAGAATAAGAAATGATAATCAACTGGAAAAAACACATATCAAACAATTCTGAATTTGTCAAACACTTTATTTTGTTATAAACATGCAAGTTACTCTCTCAAACCAACTAGCCAAATAAGGACACTACAAAATAGTTATGCTTGAAAAAGCTCCAATACTAGTCAGCCAAGAAATAACACAGCTACAAACTATATTATATACACAACCAGGAAAAAGACATAGACAAGAAAACAGTCCAGGCAAAGCAAACAATGCCAAAGAATCAGCAAACTTTAGCTTTGAATGTCACACAGATAGTAACTGACCTGGCCTTGGCGAAAAAAGGCTTTCACATTATCTTCCACATCACGAATTGCAAAGTCTGTGTCCAACAGTGCTCCTTTTAGATCACCTAGCTTCAACTTGCAGGCCTAACGCAGACAACACAGGCAGTGGTTATATAAAAGGAAACTAACATCAATAATGGGAAACAGGTACATATAAGTGGCAACAGATTATTAAAGTAGAGAAATTCCCTACCATCACATACTGTCAAATTAACCATTACAGAGCCGATTCAATGAATGTAAATCTAAAATATGAAAAAGATTGGAGTGATCTAAATTTGCCATGCTAGAAGCCTAAACCTATGAATTATCGATGATCTAACATTTCAAGGAATGCAAAATCTTACAGAACTATTTGTAAATATCTGAGACTTGATCTTCCGCAAAGAGGAGATCTTCTCTGTGCAATACAAATAAAAAAGGAGGAAAAAAGTCATCAGAGACACCAAAGGATTCATGGCAATAATATCATGATCATCAAAGAAAGAAACCAAAGCATGCACCTTCATCAATGCCCTCCTGCTCCCAGCAGACATCCAAGTAGCGCAAAGCCTTCCAATATTTTCTAAGAGCAATCTTATAGTCTTGCTTCTGTAAGAGGGAACAGGTAGGAATACTTACTGAGTAACACTATAGCAGTAAATCAAACTTCCAAAAAAAAGTAGTCAATAAACGAATGTATAGCAGAAAATGTGCCATCAATAAACATTCATAACTCGAAGAGAGCACAAGCCCCAATCATTCATAATAGAGAATGTGCCATGTGAAATCTATGAAACAGGAAAAAAAGAGCAAATTATACCGCAGAAAGCCATATGATTAGATCAAATACCTTGTATTGTTCATTTCCAAAAGCTTTGATAGAGTTTACTGCCTTCATCCACCAAGAAATTTCATCTGGTTTTTTGTCAAGGTCAGCTGGCCAATCAGGATATATATCACCATCGTTAAAAAAGTTAGATATTCCATCATCTGCCCCTTCAGGAATTTCTCCACAATCTGCTATTATAACCTCTTGAGTGGGATAATCACCGTCCTCAGTGGCAACATGCTCGATAGAACGAACAACACCCATTCCTTTTATAACCTTCCCAAAAACCACATGTCTTCCATCAAGATAAGAGGTTCGAGTAGTTGTAATAAAGAATTGAGATCCATTGGTGTTAGGCCCCATATTAGCCATTGATAACATTCCTTTTCTTTCATGTTTTAACTCAAAGTTTTCATCTTCAAATTTCAAGCCATAAATGGATTCTCCTCCAGTTCCATCACCAGCTGATATATCCCCACCTTGTATCATAAAACCTCTGATAATGCGATGAAACCGCACACCCTGTAAATTAATATGGCACTATAATTTATTTTTTTTTTAAAAAAGAACTACATATTTTCTTACAAAGTAAAGAAAACTACTTGAAAGTGCATAGTCATATCCAGGTGATTAATTTCTTAAGCGCAGAGTTAAAAGAAAATCTCCGCATGTCTTAAACATGTCAAATTCTAAGGTGATATTGCTAGGAATGCCTATGTTCGCATACACATAGGACGACCTGAGGAAAAGGATTACACAAAGGTAAAGGCAGGGTTGGCAAGAAAAACTCATTGTCTATATGAAAGGAGATGAGGAGTAACAGTGTGAAAAGTGAGTGCATAAGATCATTCAAAGTGAAATTGCAAAAGCAAGAAACCAACCATACCATCTTTAGTTCCCTTTGTTCTCAATTTTTTTTTTTTTTGCACATAGCAAAAGGTTCATATTTTTCTTTCTTTCTTTTTTTTCAAGCCATGGCAGGTTTCATTAAGAAAGCCAAGTTTCATATTTTTCAATTCATGTCTACATGCGTTATCATTAGAAGCACACTGCATTTAAAAAAAAAAAAGCTGTCTTGCCGCTTACTTTGCACCATTTTATCAATTTTAAATCAATTCCAGGTGGAGAAAAGGGGTCTGAAGTTAAGAGACTCTAGATATTCAAACTTTTTACTCTAAAAAATTTGCACTTTATATTATATATTACTCCTTTATAGAACATAGTACACTATGTGCAAACAAAACTTTGCACAAAACATGTAACCTCTATCAAATAACTATTTAATAAAATCTAAAATTGCATGCCAGCTAAATTTCATAGAAGAAAAACAAAAAAAGGCTCTTCCTTTACCCAAAACTACCCCCCCTACTTATCACCCACCAAATTCAAACCAAGAAATTTTAGCATACTTTGACATTCCAGGAAGAAAGAAAAACGAGTAAACAGTAAACAAGTATACCTCATGCATTTACATATAAACATTAGTGTTTTATGCATATAAGAAAGAGAAAAAGGTAGGACCTTGTAATGCAGGGAAGCAGCAGTGTTAGGTCCAATGCCTTTCTCACCAGTACACAAAGCCCTGAAATTTTCAGCAGTTTTAGGCACAATATCCTTGTATAACTCCACCACTATTCTTCCTTCTAGTTCTCCTCCTATACTTATGTCCAAATAACATCTTGGGTTCACCATTTTCCCCCCACTCTCTCAACTCTTTACCTGAACCGAAAATAAAAAAAGTAACCCAGAACAACCCTAATCCCACTTTTTATTTTGAACTCAAAGAAAAAAATAAAGAGGGGCGGTGTCTTAGTTTCTGGCTTTGCTTGTTCGTTTGCCGTGTGGGTTTGTTTTGGCTGCTGAAGTGCTGACCAGTTACCCCTACCACTGCCGATCCTGCTGCTTTCTGGGTGTCTGTTCAGTGACTGAACGTTTTGGCTGTTTCTCGCGGAGGTGGATGTGATACGGTGTGGCTTGGTGTATGCTATGTTGGAGGTTTGAAACCGTCAGATTTTTGTCTTGGCGAGTTACATTGCATGACTTGACGACACGGATTTTGAGGATACGGGTGTCATCATATACTCACATTTAAGACTGGACATTCTTTTTCAGCCTTAGTCCTTAAGAGAGGATGTTGACGTTGGGGCTTGTCCCAAAGTCAGGATTGGGTTGGCTTTCGAGCCGTACGATATCGTCTGATGTACAGTGCCAGAGCCCGGCTGTCCGCTAAGTTTACGGAAATGTTTCCTAATATCCTTAGAAAATTACATTCTACTCCCCGCATACTTTTTTTTTTAATCTTTTATTCTTTTGTATCATCATCATAAGTAAGGTAATAACTTGGAAAAGCAATTGATAATACTATTTCCAACTAACTATATATATATATTATATAATTATATAATTACGAAACATCAAAATATTATTTATTATAAGTAAAAATTTACGTCAATTTCATAAATCTGAGATAAATTTTTAAAATATGGATAATTTGAAGCAAATAATGATACTTACAAAATAATAGTAATAGTGAAAATAATTATAGGGCATTCCATTCCTAGCTTTTGTCCTAAAGAACAAAATTGGAGGGATGCACGGCCTGGTCAATAGACAAGACTAGAACTCATGAGGACCTAATTCTACAATGGAAGCAGCAATGCAACTTGCCAATTATTTTCATGTAGTTGAACAAGGGTGATGAGACTGAACCTAGGGAGGTCCCCACATTACATCAGGAATACATTTACATGTCAAAGCATAAGGTTACATGCAGTTGTTCACACTAATCAGAAACCCGCATTTTCATTCCCTGGCCAAAGTTCACACTTGATGAAAACAGAGAAGACACTTCCTTCGCTGCCTTCATAGATACAAGTTCCTAGCTGACTAGTTGACCACTTTACAGTTCTTCCTTATCTCCCCATCTTGTCCTGTCAGCACACCAATATTGCCCATCTTCACCATTGATGCTCCAAAATCTTTCAGAAACAGGAAAGGGTACTTGTTGTAGTTGAGGACCATTGAAGCAGTTCTATTGTCTGTGCCGAGAACTTGGTCTGACTGCAAAATACCAGAACTGTTCACAATATTTTTGTAGTAGCTGTTGTCGAATTTGGTGCTGGTGACAGAATCCAAAGGAACCAAGTTGGTGTCTGAATCAACTTGATCTGGACACACGCTTTGAAGACCTTTCAGAAATGATGCGTCAAGTTCTGGATCAGGCTTGCCTGAGCCACCGAAGTTGAAGAGCCTTGATTTGAATGTGAAACATTGAGCAAAGCCAATGGTGTGAGCACCTGTGTTTGGTAATATCAAGATCCAATTTGGTTAATTAATGACATCTAGTTCTTAAAATACAGGCAATAGCAAGCAAGTTCTTATCTTATGCTAAAGCAGCAAAAGATAAGATTGAATGTTCATTTCTGTGTCTCTGGCAGAAGCACAATAGAAGTATAAATGATATAGGGAGCATACCTGATAGCACAACCACATCCTTTATATCAAGACCCTTTGAATTGAATTTTGCAATGATGGTATCTAAGGACTCAAAAGGTGATGGGAGTTCATTGGCTGCAGTCTTATTTGCTGTTCGTCCATCTCGGCGACCTAAGGGTACCGTCCAGTATGACCCGCCCGCCTTCGATGAAATATTAACAGAAGAATTAATGACATGATTCACATGAATACATGAAGGATGATAATTATATAAAGTCAAGTATAAAAGCAATGAATGATAAATGTTACTTACAAAATAAACAGCATCTCTTGCTGCAAGAGTTAAAATGTCAGAACAAGAAACGGTTGATGGGCAAGCTTTCTCCACATTGGCCTTTATATTGTCTATGACCTCATAGCCTCTAGCTGAATTTCGATTACCTAATGCATTCTTTTCCCCCACAAATGTTGAGCCAATATCGTCAAGTAAGATAGACGCATCACATCCCTGGAGATCAGACAAAGAGTTATGAAAAGGAAACCAGTAAGTGTGCAGACAAATATTGGAAATTTAAGTTATGTGCTAAACCTAGGGCTATGTCCACATTAATGGGACAGTTACTGAGTGCTTGAAATGTCCTAAATGCTATGTAAATGCTGAAGTTTGTTTCTTCTAGGCATTCTTTTCCCTATTATCATTCTGTTCTTATGGTTAGGGGAAGGGATTTGCTTTTATGCAATCCTAACAGAATAATTAGACATCACATAAAAATAGAGGACAAATTCATTACATTAACAAAACAATCATGGAAGTGAAGTCGCAAGAGAGAGGCTGCCATCCTACTATCATTAGCAATAGCTGACCAAACTCCATATCTAACGATTCTTGTGAGGTTGGGACAAGTGCTATCATAGTATTTATAATCAAGTTGACAGAACACCAGATGACTCAGGAACAAGATGTAAAACAAGCGAACAAAGGGAAGTTTGCAGGATTTGTGTTCCATATCTTGGCAGCAACACTGAAATCAAATGCTAACTAGTTTCGTAGCTCAGCAGTGGAACCAGGAGCCATTTATACACAAGTAACCAAAGGAGAATGCATTGCCCTCTTTGAATCAAGTTCTTCCAGATAGTGGGAGAGCCACCATAGAGTCTCCCTCATAGGTTTGGTACAATCCCACATAATTTCGTCAGCAATTGGAAAACTAGAATAGCTCTAAGTGGCATGATGATCCATTCCTCTAGAAAAGTTTCATTGCAGACTGCAAATTGTACTCTCAAGTTTGACTTAAGTGTCTACATTGGAAAAAAATTGGGGCTGCAAAAATTCAAAAGCATGCGAAGGTACCAAAGATAAGTCATAGGCAACAATAATTTTTTTTTCCATAAACCATATTTATATGCCGAAAGTAGCAACAGCAGTCTTGTAGTGGAAGATACACTCATAGACAGTTTAAAGGACTGGTGAAACAGATTATCAATGGAAAATTTGCATATCAGCCAGTGCCGTGCAACCAGCAATGGATAAATATTGTTCAGTGTAAGCAGGAACCCCACAACTACAGGGAAAGTGTGAGCTAGGTGGGAGTAGTTAAATGAGTGGGGGACAAAAGGACTTAGTTAACCATTATAAGAGTGGAAAAGAACAAGAATTAAAGATGAAATCGGGAGTGTTATACACGAATTGCTTTCTAAGGCAATTGAGACAAAGGAAGTCATTTCTCTATCTACTACAGAGTTGAATAGTACTTGTTTGCCACTTTTTTTTAAAGTATTTGTTTGCCACTTAATTAAGATGGCTTGTTTCAAAACCTGAACTACCATTATTTTAGATATTTAACCTTGCTATTCTTGATGTATTCTTATGCCCTTGTCATAACCTTCTGATATGAGTTCCTCTCAAAGAACTTCTAAATGTTCTTTGGAGCTCGTAAACTTGTAAGAAATTTCCCTGTGCTTTATGGAGGCCAAGCACCCATTTAAGATCTAACAAAGAAAAGAGAGAGAGAGGACCCTTTCTTGGCACAAGTTCTTCTGACCTTGTGCAATAAAAAAATGAAAGGAACAAGGGCCTCGTGGGAAAGCCTTGCTCCTCAAGTGGATATCCTTGTTCGATGATCTGGACTCTATAAATTGTCTGTCTAAATGAACTTACGTTGGTGCAACTTTTCCTTCCGCTGGTTTCTATTGAGAAACCTTAGCATTTTTCAAAAGAAGCCTCGGCCTCTCTACGTTCTTAGAAAAAGGTGGCCTTATGGAAATAGCTAGCATAGCCTTGTACTCGAAAAGTTTTGTGGTTTCGCACAGCATTTCCAGTCGGATAAAAAGAAATTAGTCCATAAATAGTGTCCCTTTCTATTTATGAGACAGTTTTCTACCATTTTTCATTTTGTTGTCCTTTCATTACAAAACCCTGTTTGACACCATTCACTTTGTAAGTTTTGAGATGTTCTGGCGAAACGTGAGCAGGCAGGACCAATGGCTAACCTACTTAAGGTTGTTCTGAAAGTTTTTCAATTACCAACCCAAACTACTTGTATATAAAGATGTTACTGCCCTCTTTCGAGCAAAAAGAGGGGGGAAAAAGGGTTAACCAATCCCCAGTATATTAGGGACAACCGGACAAAAGAATGTCTGTAAATTTGATGAGCATAACGGCTAGCACGGCTGAAACTGTTAAGTCTGTTAGGATTTTATAAAACTTTCAGATCTTCCTGGCCAAAAGTTCACCAGCTTTTAATATTCAATAGTGAATTGCAGGGGCAAGCCAACAGCTCAAGGTTTCTCCACTCAATCTGATACGTCATATTTGTTGAGTTCAATTTGCAAAAGAAAAGCCCTTGCTCTAGTTTGCTTACACTTCAATGATCAATTAATTTATTCCAAGTTGCATTCAACTTTTGGCCACAAACAATGCTCATTGACATTAACCATTAATGCCTCTCTATTTTATTTTTTCTCTTTTATATAGCTTGGAAAAAAGAGTGTGGCCATCACTAGCTAGCCTATGTCCACGACAATCTAGTTTCGCTCTCTTCGAAATTTCCATTATTTATTTCGTCCCCAAAATTCTGTATGCATTGCCCTGTGGATGGCTGTTAAATTGTGAACACGGGCCTGCATAGACAAGTCTTGGCCTTTGTATGGGACGAGAGTAAAGGATCAAGATCTCTTTCCCTAACCCCACAAATAACAAGCAATCTAAGTGGTAAAGCAATAGGCAGTCAGGAGTCAGGAACTGGGCTGCTATAAGATACCTTTTAAATTTGTACCTTTTAAATTTGAACCAAGGGCAACAAACCAACTCGTTGCCTCTAATCAAATAGTTTAATTCCCAAGAGTCATCTTCCGCCTACCAAGCTCGATGACCATCAAATCTAGTGGCTTTACACGCACCGATTTGGAGCTTGCAATAATCAGATTGAGCCAAAAGCACTTCAAAAGCCACTTTATTGACTCAATTATAAAGTGGTAAAGGAGAAGAGAAAAAGAAAATAATCCAAAAGGGTAGGAAACGAAAGAAACATCACCACCACATTGTAATAATACAAGTACTACTTCCTTTCTAAAGCAATATCCATTGTTCTTTCTTTCAGAGTCAAGAAAGGCTAGAATTATAGCGACATAAAGATGGTTATTTTCCTCTCTAAATTCTAACAAAGATTGTCACAGCACAAGTAATCGAAGCAGGTCTCCATGCAGTCATAGCAGCAAGAACAACTGCACCCTCAATAACACCGAAAAAACAAATTAAACAAACTATATATACCAAAGCCTTTGGGGAAAAAAAAGGGGCAAAAGAGAAAAAGGGTACATACCATTCATCGACAGCTTTGTCTTGTTCATCTCCTTCAACCTGGAAATTGTTGGTTGAAGTCTCTATGGATTGTGTTGCAGGTGGTTCCATTTTTGCTTGCCTGCTAAAGCTCTTTTGAGAAGATGGTTTTGTCTGGTTTTGTGTTTTTTGAGAGTTCTTGGTCTTTACGGGACAAACTGAAAGAGAAACGTGGATGGAAGAGGGATAATGTGCGTTTACTTGTTCACGTGAACGCAATTCAGCTTAGTGGAAAGAGAAGTATGAAAGTGACACCATCATTACTCTTTTAACTTTCTTTCCCCATTTTTATTGATTTTAATTGCATTTAAAGACTTAAATTGACTAAATGATGACTGGGAAAGCACTGTGAAGGTGGCTTCAATCATAGATCTAAACCATGGAATCTATCCAGCGGGGAAGACCTGAGACGAATAACACCAAGAAACTAGCAACAATGATTATTCGATGAGCCCTCTACTTAGAATGAGAATAACTATAGAATGTACTTGTTCAAAAAAAAAATAGCACAATAACGTCTGATCAATGATGACTTGATAGTCCCGAGGGTCGGCCAAGTGGTAAAATGCAAAAACTCAACATGCTGATCTTGTCTTGGTTAACCTTTTGATTCAAAGCTGACCGTTTTAACTACGGCTTATGGTCAATTTTGGTATCCCGGCGACAGCTTTTTTTTTTTCCTTCTCTATCCTTATCAATCTGCTCCCCTCTGTTTTTTTCTCAGCCAAAAAGGCAATTACGGTTTCATGGCTTATGTGGATCACACAATCACAACCTTCTCCTGGGTAAAGATTGTTGTTAAAGCATTGTTAAGAAGCTGAGTCATTAAGAAATTGGTTTTTTAGCAAAAGAAAGAGAATACATTGTGGCATGCTAAGATTTCCCGCACCTTCATTCCTCTTCAGACAGTTCACTTCTTTTTTATTGTCCCTTTATCAAGTCTTTCAGTTCCACAACTTCAAATAGTAAGTACTAATTAAGACGGGCCAACAACACAGGATACAGAGGGTGAGGCCGGCCAAGATTTGGGGGTTAGGAGAATGGTATATGCCTAACTTAAACCTTCTAAAATCTACTAATTCATTCGACTCCATATTTACATGGAGATGAGAACGCCACCTTATGTTAAATATACATGAAAAAAGAGCTTTCTTAATTTCGGAAGCTCTAAAAAAATATTACTAGTATACAAAAACCTGATTCAGGATGTGCTTCCAGGATGAAAAGCCTACAGGAACTTCAACGAGGCATTGATGACACATTGGGTAAGGAGCTTTTAGTTCAGCTCTCCATTGCCACAAATCAGACAGCACCTTTTGAGGTCACCTTCGCAATGCTTCAAGCTGCCTTATCAGCAGAACCCTTGAAAATAATGTACAGTGCTTCTTCCTCTCCTCAACATCATCTGAAAGTTTGGTTCTTCTTCGACTCCTGGTTGATAGACACATTAATGGTACCGGAAGGATTGGGATGATAAGTATTTTGACCTGAGCGTGGAGGAGACAAACTAGGAAGAGCCTCAAGGGTTGAACGAGGTGAATAACGTGGGGCCATTGTTAAGTCGGAAGTCTTGTAATGAGATCGCTGTGCAGTCTCACTGGAGAAAAAGAATAATGCGTGAAGCTGGAGTGGACAGTGAAGAAAAAAGTAAAGTTTACCAACTTGATTCAATTCAGCAGTCAGGTTATGCAAATTCCAAAGAGGCTAAGGTCAAAGGAAATGCAGAATGTAACTCTTACCCGTCAGGAGTCACAGATTTTGAACTTCGCAAGCTTTGCTGAACTGGCAATTGATCCAGTTTAAATTCAGATCGCTCTCTTGGACTAAGGGGAATATCCTGCAAAAATTAAACCAATTATAAGATAAACCATTAGATGCGAGCAGCAACAAAAGGGGAAGTATTCTTATGTACCATGGACTTTTTTCCATTAAATGATGAGGCGCTCGATGAGGCAGCCGACTGTGGTGAGCTTTTCACAAATCTATGTTCTAATAACATGCTTGCAGATGGTCTCTCTGCTGGATTTCTTCGGAAGCAGCAGCGTAGGAAATCCTTGCCCTCAGGTGATAATGTTTCGGGTATGGGAGGAGTATCCCTCATCACTTTAAACATAGCTGCAGCCTGCATTAACAAAAAGAAAGTAGAGAAATTGGCAATGGCTCTTATTTAACAACAAACCAGACCAAGCAATTGAACTTGTCCTTGTCACGCAGACAATCAAGGCACTCTTAGGTCTTAATGATTGCTGGACAAGTAAGGCCATTCAGCACAATCTAACTGGTACACAATGTACAAGTATTTGCATTATGAGAAACACAGAACACAACTTTTTGTTCTTTTTTTTTTTCTCTAATCTAATGCCATGGTGAAAAGTTGGACTGTAGAAGATTTCTCCAATGCTCGGCATGATCAATAAAGTTAATTAAGAAACATCAGGTGCTTACCCCTTCATACTCACTCCATGGTGCTTTACCGGTGAACATTTCGATAATTGTACAACCCAAACTCCATATATCAACAGCTAGAGCAAGATCAGAACTGTTATCTTTCTGCATCACAGCTTGCATGAGCTGCAGGGAAATGAATGATGTCAGTATGCTTAAACTACAGACCATCATGTATTGATATAGTGGCGAGATGGTACCTCTGGAGCCATCCAGTATGGGCTTCCTTTCAAAGAAAGATCAGCTCTTTGTCCACTAAGCTGTGCAACAAATGAATCCAAAATTATTCAAGCTAAAGCAGAAAGAAAGTAACTAGCAAAGACCTGGAAGCAAGATGTCCTGGAGGAAAATAATTCATGCAGCCACCCCAAAATTGGAGCCAAGGCTAAGTATGAATTCCAGGGAAATTAAGGATGTTGCAACAACAAGAAATGAAAGGCAAATTATGATGATGATAATGACACATCTGCCACTCCAAAGCTAATCAACTCCAATTTTTCACAGCTTGTCACTGCAACAATTAAATACTCATAGTACACAATAGACCATCCTTCTTCTTATTCTGTTATTTTGGCTTAAAATCTAATTATGGTCCTGGACAAGGCCTTACCACTTTGAAAGCAAGTACATTTGCTAATACAGCATTTGATGTCTCCAAGACCAGAGAATATACTTGCAAGCAAAGAAAATGAAGAGTTAAAGAATTCATTCAAAGACTACATAGCTTTAATTCTGCCAGCACATGCCAGGTGTTGCAACTTCACACAAGAACAGTTATAATCTCCCTTCTAACTTCATGTGTGCCTATGTCAATTTACATCCCCACTTCTTTTATTAAAACATCCAAGAAAGGACTACAGTTGACGAGATGGATTGCAATGAATTTCTTTTTCCTTTAACTTATTTATTGTTGTGTGCGGATAGATGGGTGGACATCAACTCATAAAAGATCCTATGGCTACAAATTTACATGCCTTATCTGTGACTAGCTTGTATCCAAAGAGAAGGGGAAGACATGAAACTTACATGTTTGGACATCCCAAAGTCAGCAAGCTTGACAACTCCAGATGCATCAACAAGCAAATTAGCCCCTTTAATATCCCTAAATAGAACAGGTAAACAGCATCCTAAGCAATTAACAATTCATACGAGAATAGTAAAATAGGTTCTTTCCTTTCCTTAAACTACTAGTGTTTTTGTGCTTAAAATTTGAATTAGAACTTAAATGTAGACATCATTCACTTTTATACTCAAACTGGCTATTGTAAGGTGCATGCCAAGCCTTACTTTAACCCATAAATCAGCACTGCGCTTTGTACCTGTGGATTGTCTTTGTGCTGTGCAGGTAAGCCAGCCCAGAAAGAATATGGCGTGTAAAATTGCGAACAACAGATTCTGTTATGGCACCACAGTGATCACGAGCATATTTATTAATTGAACCAGGATGAACATATTCCAGATATATATAGAACTTGTCTTCAACCTACATATGCATAATTTGATTTCCTTAATCAAAGTCCTTCAGATAATAAGTGGAGCTAGAAGAAGGGGTGAAGTCCTAAACATGCCAGTGGTGTATTACTTACAATTTCGCTACCATAATACTGCACTATATTTGGATGCTTGAGTTGGCTAAGAACCTTGATCTCCTGCAATGGAAGGAAGTAGGTAGGAAGGCAATAAGAAACCAGCAGTAGGTAGTTATTAAATTCTCACTCTTCTCTCTCTAGAGCGAAGAAATGTAATATTTGCTATAGAAATACCTGCTCTAGTTGCTTTATACACTCTGCAGATTTTGGGTCATCAGGAAATATCTCAACTTCCTTCATTGCACATAAAGCTCCTGTTTCTCTGTCAGAAACAAGAAGCCAGTTTTTTGGTCAGTTAGCAAGAGTCCAAGAGAAACAATTGCAAAGATACATAGACCTTGTATACCTGTTGCTGGCAACGTAAACACTTCCAAATGTACCACGCCCAATAAGCTTGCCTTTTTGCCATTGACAATTCATTGGCAACGGCTCTGGTTTAGTTGTAACTTGAGGAATAAGAGCTGATGGAGAAGCCATGGCTGCTCCTGGAGGAAGAGGTAGCGGATGAACATTGATAGGGCAACTATTTTCAGGTCGGGATGATGAGATCTCAAGTGACAACCTATGATGTATTGGTGAAGCGGATCCACTTTGGCTTCTATTCTTTCGTTGAGGACTTCTATTCGGTGGACTGTGAAGCGGAGTATTATCAGTGCTAAATGCAGTGTAATCATAGAATGCTGGGGGAGGAAGCCCTGGAACATCCAATGTTGCCATCTCTGGTGCGGACCAGACTTGATTTCCTGTAGGAACCATGTAGTGTGGAAACAGGTCACCAGTACTCGTTCTGTGCGGGCTAATTACAGGACTGGTGAAAGGACTCGTAGGAGCACTCCTAATAGGAACATTCACCCTAAACTCATCCCGAGAACTATCCCCTCTATTTACTTCTTGATGTAATACCTTAGAGGGTGATCTTGTCTCAATGTGCTCTACCCTCTTCCTTGCGTCACGAGAAGCAAACATACTGTAATAGGAGAATTGACAAACTATCAATTATTGAAAAACCAGTAAAAGAAGTAATCCAAATATCTACAATGACTACAAATATAAAAACTAAAACTGCTCTATCAAAACAAAAGGCTCATTTTATTACAGCAGCACTGTCAAGATATAAAGAACAAATCCACACATGAAATAAGCGTAAAATTTTCAGATTGTGCATTCAGAGATTATCAATTAAATAATATTGTAATTATGAGTAAATCATCCTCTAGCTCATACTTTGTTTCTAAAATCAGCAAAATTACCACACGGAATATCACTAATTACTATCGTTAAAAATAAAATATCAAATGATTCAAGGAAAGAAAATTAAGATATGCTAATAATTTCGAAAATAAAAAAAGTAAAAAGAAATCATTTCGTTCCTTCATTGCAATTTTAAATTACATAATAATTACAAAATCCTATTTAAAATTATAACCTATTGCATCAATTAAGGAAGGATCAAGAGCTTTTTTTAATTAAATGTTAATTAAAACTAAGAACTGAGAAGAAAAAAATCACCTTGAATTCGAAGGCGTTCCATCTGCTTTTTCTCTATCTCTATCCTCTAAACCTTTACCATGTCCAACCTCACTCGGCGACGGCAACCGCTGATCCCCGTCTACTTCGGGAACCGGAAGCGGAAGCGGCAACGGCACTGCCAACGCCGACGATGTTGTCCTCGAAGCCGGAGCCGGAGCCGACGATGACAATGGAGTATCATAAGCACTGGGCGACTTGGACAGCGGCGCCGCCACCTCCTTCGCCGGCGAAACCTCCTGGTCGCTGAGACGCCTCAGCTCCCTTTGCCTCATCAGCTTCGGCCCCGCAATGCGAAACCCCAAGTAATTGTGACGAGATTGATTACGCTGATTACTATCATGATTATTAGTAGTAGTATTATTATTATTATCTTGCAAATGTTTCCCGGGAGAAGTTGCCGGCGTGGCGGCTGTGGAAGAAGAAGAAGAAGAGAAGGAAATATTTTGAAGCCAACGCATGGCTAGAAATCATTCTAAGTTAAAAAAAAAAACAAAGAAATCAAATTCCCAAAATGAAAGAATTCGAAATGAAAATTCCGAACAAAAAAAGGAGAGGAAAACCCATGAATCTAGGTCTGAAAAGAACAAAAATGTATGGATAACAAACGGACGATGATGTTCCGAGGATTGGATGGGAACGGAGCATTGGATGTTGGGATACCGGTTTTTTTATGTTTTGTCTAAAACAACGCGGTTTACAACAGAAGCCATTTAGCTTTTAAGGAGGTCAATAAAGTCAAGAGCCTCTTGCTTTTTTTCCACTTCTTTTGTCTTTTCTCTTTTCTTCCCCAATTTTTTATTTATAATTTTTTATTGGATTTGTTTTAGGAGAGAGAGTCACAGAAATTTTTTTTTTTTTCTGTTATTTGGGTAAGGCGTGAATTTCCGTTGCACGAAGTGGTTGTTGGATTAGTTGAGGATTTGCTTTAGTTTTTTTAGCGTATGTCGACCCTGTTTTACAGTACCAAAAAACTGACGTGGCAATCATGATGCTTAATTTACGTAAAACTGAATTACCGAATTTATGCCTAATGAATTTTTTTTTTTGTGGTTTTACATTCTACAATTAAAAGTAAGAAAAACAAAATCCAACATTTATAGCTTTATTGGCAATAATATAACCGATTTGTTATTATCGTTGAATTTAACTACAAATATAATCTAATAAAAATAATATGAAATTTGGAAAGAAAAAAAACATCTATTGTACTCTTAATTTTAAAAATTGATGGCAATCTCAATACTGATTCAATCTAAAATATTTTTTTTTAAAAAATAAGATTTCAAATTTAAAATTAAGAAATAACTGTCTTTACTTCTTAATCAAAGCTCATCAGTTTTATTGACATCAAGTTAATGTAAGTAGATAATAAATACCAATCTGTTTGTCAAAAGTGTTAGAACACTAAACTGAAAACTTAGAAATTGGCTTCAAGACGTGTATCAATGCCACTGTCCTTAAGGTTTTATTCGCCCCCACTTGTAGTGTGCAAAAGAGTTACCAACATATAAACCTCGAAGATACAATGAAGCCCAGTGATTGATAGCATTTTGCACTGACGAAATCAATCTACTGAGCACTCACCGGAGTATAACAAGATTATCAAACTTCTATAATATTTTTTCTGCAGGAAAATAGTATAGAAGAAAACTTGGAAGATGTTTGAGGAAGAAGAAGGAGAGATATTACTGTTTTTTTTTTTATTTTCATTGGATAAGGAGGGTCATCTTTTATAGGCATAGATGCCTGTTCTCAACAGATACTATTTGTGTATGTTTCAAAGAGTTGCTTCTGTTGGTCTTTTCCAACAGATGTGACTCTTTTCTTATTTTATAGTGTCTATTGATTTAATTTTCAACAGACACAATCCTTTTTTTAATTCCCAACAGTCACAACTTTCTTTCTATTTCAATATGAAACCATATTTTTATTTGAAAATGTCTAACAAAAAGAGAAAAGACCAAATGAGTACTACAACTTGATTATGTCACTGATAAATCATTAATTGCTAAATGCATTTTTCAGGAAAATAGAAAAAAATAAAAAAAAGAGTAGGTATACCTTTTAAAAAAATAATTGACCCTACCATTTCAATTAAGAAAAGTTGAAGAAAAAAACAAAGAACAAGTTGTGTTATATATTTATCTCTATATATATCTATGTTGACGCCATGTTTCATATCCATTAAGAAGATAGATGAACAAGATCAGCATGGGCTTGGATCCTGATACCGACATGTTTGCCAGAAAAGAGGAGAATGAATCCTCTCGATCGATTTGAATAGTCAAATAAACAAGTAGAATTTTGTTCTTCCGAATTTGATCAACCTTGTTCCATATGCTAATTGCAGACAAATCGGTATAATAAACTCTGTTTAGAATTTGAGTTTGGACCCTTTGTTCCTCAGGGAAGACCTGCGTCATTACTTTTCGAAGATGCTTCAATGACCACTCCAGTTTATTGCTGATAGCGGTGAATTAGTGGTAATTCAATCATTTGATGAATTTTAAAAAAAATGCAGACCAATTCCAAAAAGTGTGATTATTCCAACTCCCAAGTTCCAATAATTGCATTTGCATACAATTGGTTTTTGGATAAGATAAATTAAGAAGAAAAGAAAATCAAAGGTTTATTATTTATCTTTTTTGTCCTTCATTAGCAAATCGAAATCTTGGAATCCACATAAGAAATGAGAGTCAGATTTCAAAGTCTTGTCTAGTTAAGAATAGAAAACAGGCATTAGCAGAAGTAATAATTTATTACTATATACAGAGAGCAGGAAGAGGTGGATGACCAGACTTGGTCCTACTCTTTACATCCATTTTCATCATTAATAAATGGAAAAAAAAAAGACATTAAATTTTTTTTGTTGTTATTTTGTTTCCTACGTAAAGCTACACTGTAGTCGAAGAAAACAACAATGAGCAGCTATAAGACCAAGTCACACTCTACTTGGCAGAGTGCCGTTTGGCAAGTTCAACGGTCAAACATTCAACGGAGTTACACGGGCAGAGGAAGAAAGGGCCTTTGTCTTTTGGGACGCGTCGCCTTTGTAAGGCTTCCTTAAAAGTTTGACTCTCAAAGATACAAACGCTTTGAGCAGCCCTCGATTTGCGAGAAAACTCCAAAACCGGGAAACGGGGTTTCGGCCAAAATAGGAGACTTGAAAACCATTATTGTCCATATACATTTTTAATTTTTATTGACTGAGGCTTAGGATTCTGGTTTTTAATTACAGCTTGTCAACTAAAAAGCGACAAAAGTTAATTAAAAGACAACAATTTTCAACCTGAGGGGTACGAAGCAGACAGTTGCAGTAACTTCTTCCTAAGATAATGCTACTGCCTGAACGTAAAGTGCAAGAAAGAGTCATACTTGTCTCTAATACCAAGTCTAACTTCAGCAGGTCGCCACCTCCCAGTCGTGGCAATGGAATGGAAGGGTCGAGTTTACTTGCAGGCAAGAGAGAAAGAAGGAATAGGTTGCTTGAAGATATTATATCCGGTGGAATATGGGTATTCTATAACTAGCTAGTCAGCCATGAGCTGCCGACATATTTTGGCAGAGGAAAGTCTTTTGAAGGAAAATGGAAGACAGTCCTTAACTAGGTGGACAGCCATGGACAGCCGACATCTTTTGCTTGGCTGAGAAAAGTCCTAAGAATGCCTATGTTAGAAATGAATAGAAGCTCGGAAAATCTTAGTGCTCTCAAATCTCACCAACCACAGAAAAAATTAAACCACCATTTGGTCAGTTTCGAGCTTCCATCCCTAGAGATAAGATAGCATCAACATTCAACAAATCATAAACAAATATGTAGTGAACAAAATTTTCATTGTCTGAATCTATACTCTGTCTAACCAGTGGCAGAAAACTATTCAAATTCTGCATTCTACAATCAATAGACTAACCATTTCACAGGAACCACCTCCCCTTAATATTATACTTCGAAACAAGGTTTGAAACAGTTAAAGGAATCGATACAACATGCCAGTGATTCCATTCAAGAGTACTAAAGAAAACCAGCACTGTCTGATTAAACTCTTAAATGTTAAATTCCTGATCACTTGGGAAATCTCAAAGCACCACCTCAAGAAATATCAGACTTATTCTTGAAAAGCTTTTATCTTGTGAGTTATGCATCACCAAATTTGAAAGTCAAATTCATGCTTCTATAGCTATACCTTCGTGGGCTCTGGGTTTTCAAAATTTGTCGCCACAATCTTACATATAGGCATGCTTTCATTCTTGCTTAGAAGCTTCAAGGATGGATGAACCTCAACATCATGCATTAACACTCTATCACCAATATCTAATTTGCTTACATCCACCTCAATCTTTGGAGGAATGTGTTCCGCTGGGCATAGATACTTCAAACTAGTTCTTATCCTATTCAAAAAGCCACCTGTTACGGCATTAAAGTATCATCAAATAATGTTTGGCAATGACAAATTATATTCAGGTTGTCCAAGACTTCAATGAGATAAAGCAGGGGCAAAATCATATGAGAGATATCTGAGCAATCCCACATTTACATAACAAGGGTAATGATGGTAAAAAGAAGTTCAACAAGTGTTTCTCCAAACATGAAAGCAAGCATTAGAATGAGGAAACCAGCAAGAATTCCTGTTTGTCTGCTTTATGTGATACTTCCTAACCAGAAAAGAAGGGTATAGAAAGGCAATTATAAAATGGTATTGCCTGTTTGATTCCTTATGCATTGTTGCTTGCACCCAGACATAAGGGAAGGTAACAGCATTTAATTGAAGCAATAATATGAAAAGCCAGGGAAGACAATTAAGCTGCAGAAGATGAGCAACAAAGGAAGTGGATAACAATGAGCAAAGCTCCAAGAATATGTAAGGTTAAAGATAGTGTGTCATAAATTCCATAAAATAAAGAGGCAGTTTCAACCATGCCTTATGCCTAATACTTGGATTTTTGCATTCTACTGGCCAAGCATTTAGCCCTAGACTTATTAAACCTGTCATTAGGACTCTTTTCTGTATTCACGTTTGTTGCAAAAGTATACCTGAAACAGATAAGAAGTTGGAAAAAAAAAAAACTCTCGGAAAAAATATCAGACCATTAATAACAGACCTCTAGAAAAATGTAACTCATAAACATCAGAAGTTTCAACATTATTTAACATATATATGCAAGAAGATGCCCAGGGACATGCATACACCAGAATATTTTAAAAAAAAAAAAACAACAAACATCAATCTCTACAGGCTAAATCACATCTGTATTTTTAATTTTTCTAGATATTCATTATAAAATGAAACCGGTTATTTAGTCTCAAGAAACGAGAAGCACCATGTTAAACCATGTATCATGTGAGCATTGCCCTCTATGAAGAAAATCACAAAGTAAGACTTCATAAAACATACTGGCTTCACTATCTTTCTATGTAAATGTTTAAAACATCAAAATAGATTCCTAACTATTTCCATAGTTTTTTTTAACCAACAATTTCAAATAGTTAACAAACATAAGATTCTCACCTAAATGGAGCAATGAACAGAAGTAATTTCCATATAAAATTTAAATCATGCATAACCTTAATCAAACCATGCTTAAATGGGGCAATGTTTAATAAATTTTACCTTTCTTAAGACCAGGGCAATCCTCTTCTCCTTTGAAAACAACAGGCACATCAACCTTCAACTTACTCCCTTCATCCGCCCAAACAAACACCAAATTCAATATCTTCCCACTCTCCTCATCCCTATGAATCTATAAAACACGCCAAAAACAAAATTTGAAGCTGGGTAACAATAATAGCTGATAAACCAAGAGAAAAAAAGGTAAAAAACTTGCCTTGATGGGTAACACTCTCCCAGATTCAAGTAAGACCGAAGACCCGGAACCGGCCCGGATCTGAAGCGGGAACGTGGTGGAACAAAAGAAAGGGCGTTGTACGGACTTGAGGATGGCTTGAATCTGCTTTCTTTCGGTAGTCAAAAGTTGTTTCCTGGATGGGGAACGGTTGGCGGGGCTTTTTTCGAGCAAGCCTTGAGAGAAAACCACGGCCGGAATTCTACCTTGGCCTCGGTCACGCGTGGAGACACGGTTTCCGGTGCATTCTCGAGGAATGGCTTGGATCGTGTGGTAATGGTGGGAGTTCCCGGTCGGGGTTTGGACCACCGTTTTCAGGCCGCGCCACAACCTGGACATTGGGTGGGTTTTTCCCGAAGCAGGATCGAAACCGTTATGGATATTGCCGGAGGGGGTTGCTGACAGTTGCTCTGTCTCTGGAGCTTTGCGAAATGAGGGTTTTGTGGACGGTTAGGGACGGCGTGGGGTTTAAGAATTTGGGCCGAGGTTTGGGCTTTTTTGTTGGGCAAGGGTTAGGAAACTGTGGGAACAATTTGTGTCCGAACTTACAAAACAAAAGATCCAAGTTAGCCCAATGAACATTTTCTTGTACCCAATGGGCTAATTCATTGATTAGGTGTCTTGGCCCATCAATGGTTCGTTTTATTAGAATTTTATCCATTTTTTACTTAGTTCAATGATCATCCCAACATCCATGTTCATCTATACATGCTGATTACATCAACTTTTTGTTAACAGCTTATTGATTTAGATCATTGATTTAGGAGTGATCTAATTCTCATCTAAAAAAATGAAATAATTTAATTAATACCAATATAAAATAATCTGTAAAATTAATTGTATTTAATGCTATCCCCTTAATATGTGAACTAAAAACTTGCCTCCTCTCAAACTTTTAACTGGTTTACATCATAAAATTTTACCATTTCTAAATAATATTCATTTGTACTAAACTCAAAACAAATTTTGTTCTTCCTCTTTACTTTTTTTTTTAAATGTTTTGAAATTATTATTTTTTAACTATTACAATATGATTGTAGTATTAAGATCATTTTATTGATCTTAAAAATGACACCAAAAGCTATCTAAACTAAACGACGGTACCCAACTTGCCACCAAAAGAAGAAAACTAGAAAATTGTTATGGTCCCTCAAAATAACCTGCAAATTATGAAGTCACACTCGAACATTTAATTTATTAAATAGTGTATAATTCTCTTTATTTAAAAAATAAAATTTAAATAATTTTTCCTAAATAAAAAAAAAATTGCAAAGTATGAAGTCAATGTTACTTAACAAAAATGGAAGTTTGTTGGCCAACCAAAGGTGTGAAACCTGCACCAGGCAACCACTTGAGGTTTTAGTTTAAGTTGCAGCACCAACCAAAATGCTTGCAGTCCTCAGAGATTAATTGTTGCCAGTTTTAGTTGTATTGTATCGTGATATTCTTCAAGTTTCTAACTTCTAACCACTCGGAAGAAATACCATCTCCCTCCTTTGAGTATCCAATGAATGTTAACATAAGGGTTCAAGCTCTGCAATATCTTGAACCCTTTTTTTATTATTATTGTTTGCACTTGAATGTTCTTCAACTTTCTTCTTTATAACATTATTGTACCCTTTTCTCAGAGATTGGTGCAACAGTTTTTCTGGGCAACAATGATACAACAAGGAGGTAACGGTTCACCCTAGCGGCAAGCAAGGATAAAAAAAAAGAAGAAAGGCTAAAAAAGCAGCAGTTCCCCACGAATTCAATCATAATAGGTGTTAGATTTTACGTTAATCAAAGCTCTTGTGCCGACATTCATTGGATGTATTTGTGAATTTGACTTGCTACCTGCAGACATGTAATCTTAAAGAAATTCGACGGAGTCGCCATCCCAGACCAAAAGGTTAGATTAAGACTTGGTTTAAGTCTTGATATGGTTTAGAAAATGGTTAAAATTAATATTTATATAAAAAAAATTAATTAGATTGTTTAGCGTACTAATTAAACTAGATTTTAGTTATTAGATGAGATCATTTGATTAATGATGAAGAATCTTTTCTAAGAAAACTTTACAATTCAATCCCATTTCTCACGTTCATTTGCATTATCTTATACTACAAATTGACTTCAAATTATCACAGAAAAATCTTATCTAACCTGTGAAATGCAATATATCTAATCTAAACTCCACTAATATCGTAATATTAAATTAATTTGTTTAGACAAGAATATTTATTTCATTATCAATTGGAAAAGGTTGAGAAAAATGTGTGATTTTGAGACGAAATCACTTCTCGTATCAGAGTTAAAGCCAGTGAAGCACGCATTTGAAAAGAGAATCCTTGAAGCCACCATCAAATCCTCTCCCCTTTTGTTTCATCATCTGACTAAATCTTTTACCTAACAATCGAACAGAATACCAATGGCATTGGCGTTTTGTGATGCTGGGAAAACACCCTTTTGTCTGCTCTCAGTATTTTTTTCTACGGTAAGCCGCACGCGGTAGCCTATTCTGGACAAAACCCCAACATCTGCTTTAGGTGTATTACCACAATCTGTTCACACCCATGTCAGCCACCACACTGAAATGAAAAAGAAAGGATAAATCCACCTTTTTTTTTTTGATAACATTTAATGGGTATCTTTTATTCAGATGTACCTAAGTATTCGATCAGATTATATTAAGTACGAGTATTTTATATTTGGGTTTATAAATTTAATTGCTTTTTAAGAAAATAATATCTGAATTCTTTAGCCTTAATTACTGCATGAGACATTTTATCCGAATGGTTAATGACAGTTCAGTTTTAAACCATTTTCTAGGAAGAGAGTGAGTGTGGGGACAGAATTCAAAGGGGGGAATTTCCAGGTGAGTGATGATGAGTGGAGAAAGCATTTAACAATAGCAGACAGATTGAATGGTGGCATCAGAATATTCATGTCAATGTATTTAATTAAAATAGTTATTTTCGGCCGGGCATTCTATGTCAAATCCATGCACGTGATGAACTTCCTACCAGCCCATGAGAAGTCAACATGGAAAAAGAGAACAAGATTTAAAAAGAAATTGAAATGAGAGAGAAAAAAACAAAGTAAAGGAACAAAAAGCCTGAATAAAATACTGCAGTGGAAAAGATGGAGACAAAATGGCTGACTTGCATGCAGCTCAGTCCCTCAACCTGGCCCTCAAACAGGTCATTATCCTAACTATCATCAGGTGCCCCTTTGATGAATGCCAAGTATGAATGTATAATTCAGGCCTTGTGGTGGTTGAGAATGATGTTTTGTTTGCAATGCTCAAGGTGAAGATTTCTTTAATTGATCATGAAATACTTCAATGGGGTTGAGCAGAATATATTTGACTTTCAGGCAATTATACAAATCTTCAGTCCACCATTAATATCTACATAAATTAATTAGTAATACAAATAATGAACAGCAATTCACACTTCTCAATTATTCTTCCTCATTCTTTCTTCATGAGCTTATTAGATGGAGCAATGCCATCTAATTTTTTTAATTAAACTCTCACAATTAATGGCAGAGATTGAGATTGGTTTTACAGTTGTAGACAACCCTTTTCTGCGGCTCTTAATATAGATATATATTTGCATCTTAAAATAGAAACCAAGTAATGGCCCCCATATGATGTGATGGGGCATTGCGATTTACCAATAACCCAAGTCTAAAAAGAGAAAAAGAAAGTAGCAAAGTAGAAGCAAAGGCAAAGACCAAACAACTGTCAATTTAAATTAGATTGGAAGAATGGAATGGTAATAGTAAATATCATGAAAACAGTAAATGAAGACAAAGAGGAAGCAGCTGATATCAGTATCACTCCAACCCACACACACACACACACACACACAAAAATCTGTACCAGAGAGGGAGAGAGAAAGATATAAGGGTACTACAATAAATGGAATGAATCCCTGTGCACGCAATTGCTCACCAACACACTGGACCTATCTGCCTAATGGCACTCTGGGTGGAGTCAGTGGTCGCACCGCATCACCCCGCAGCTGCTGATGCAGCTGCAGCCAGGCGCCAGACCACTGCTCACTCACTCACTCACTACTAACCATCGAACCACTCTCTGTCTCTCTTTCTCTCTCTCTCTCTTTTCCTTCTTATTTCCTTTTTGTCCCCCTTCCATGAGTCGCATTCGTGGGTTCCACTACTATTATTTC